TTTTACATATGACGGCAGCTGAGCAGGTACAGATGTTTTTTCGTTTTTCTTTTCCATGGCCATGTCTTATTCCCCATTCCTTTTAATTGCATTTTTAAGAAATTTACTTTTTTGTTTACCTTTATTTTTTTGCCCCATTTTGTTTTCAATTTTGCCTTGGAAGGTTGATCTCTTTGTTGCCACACCAAGTAATATTCCGGCTGAAAGTTTTGAAGTGTATGGAGTGGCACTTGCTTTGGTTGCACAGGCTTTTGTAGGTAAAAAGCCGCATCTTATCCAGGACGCTGATAACCTATTCCAACAACTTCAGCAAACTAGGGTTTCAACTGTTAAGAATGCTGCCTCTATCTATTCTCCCAAAGAGAATAGGGAGGTTGACTTTGCTTTAGAGAGGGGCCTCTGTGCATTGCTTGTGGGAGAGCTTGATAAGTGTCGATCGTGGTTGGGACTAGACAATGAAAGCTCCCCTTATAGAAACCCATCTATTATAGAATTTATCTTGGAAAACTCAAAGGACGATGATGCCAGTGAACTTCCTGGACTTTGCAAATTATTGGAGACATGGTTGATGGAGGTAGTTTTCCCCAGATTTAGAGATACTAAAGATATAAGATTCAAGCTTGGAGATTACTATGATGACCCTACAGTGCTGAGGTATCTAGAGAAGCTGGAGGGCGCGGGTCATTCACCATTGGCTGCTGCTGCAGCCATAGTGAAAATTGGAGCTGAAGCTTCTGCTGTTATTGGTCATGTGAAGACTAGTGCTATTAACACGTTGCGGAAGGTATTTCCTGTTGTTTCTGAAGATCAAATTGTGAAGCCCCACAATAACAGTAAGATGGATTATTTTGTTCCTGATAAAGTTGAGGATCCTCTGGTAATAACAGACCAAGATAGGTATGCTAATGTGGAGGTTTCTGGCATAAAGAGTTCTGGTGAAATAAGTGAAGACGAGTTTATTACCAACAAAATTAAAGAAGCAACAGTGAAGATCATGTGTGCTGGTGTTGTAATTGGACTAGCAACTTTGGTTGGCCTAAAGTTCCTACCTACTAGGAATGGCTCGCCCATTCTACAGAAAACAACTGGTTTGGCAATGGCCTCAGATGCTATCAATGGAGGTATGATCTTTAATTCTTTGTAGACATTTGCAACTTGGAATGATTGGAACAATTGTGTTCTTAATTCTTGTTTGTTGTCTGACATTGAGTGTCTATATATCTTTAAATAGGTTTTGATGGTTCAAAGTGCAAATTTTAAGCAATTATTTCTCCCTTTAGATATAACACATTGATTGATTCAAATGCACAGGGTCATTAGGAGATGAAAAATCGGGGGAGCAGCAACCGAAAATGGATGCTAGAATTGCAGAAGCTCTAGTTCGCAACTGGCAAAATATCAAATCCCAAGCTTTTGGACCTGATCATCGTCTTGAAAGATTGCAAGATGTAAGCAAGTCTGATTAAACTTTGTATGATAAATTAACTGATAAATGATAATAATAATAATCTTATCTTATGGTTGAAGTAGATATGGCTGCATCTGGGAAGTCCTCTGCTGTTAAATTCTATGGAGCAATTAAACTATTAAACTACATCAAAGTTATTATTTTGTTGTTGGAGACATCAAATTATTGCATTTCTATGTGCTTGTTGTCTCCCAAGATTTGAACTAATATTTCAAATCATGTTAGATCCTGTGTTATCAGTGAATCATGAGGCTCATGATTTACTTATTAACATGTGGATATAGGGTCACCTATGCACCTTGTGTATCTGGTATACAAGACTGAAACTTTTTGAGTGAATTTCATTTTATTTATTATCATTTTCAGGATTTCATTAAGATAATAAGTTTCCTTCTTTCCCATCCCTCCCCCACCCCCATGTTTTTTTCCGTGTTGTTGCCTTGAGTTCTATTCGTATTGAGGCAGTAGTTATTTGTGTGAATTTTCTTTGCTGTATATGGAAACTGTTGTTGACATGAAGCACTGATAGGTTTTGGATGGTGAGATGCTGAAGATATGGACTGATCGTGCAGCGGAAATTGCACAGCTTGGTTGGTTCTATGAGTACACCTTGTTGAGCCTCAACATTGATAGCGTGACTATATCACAGAATGGAAGGCGGGCAGCGGTTGAAGCGACTCTCAAAGAGTCGACCCACCTTATTGCTACTGGTCATCCAGATAATAATGCCTCAAACATTAGAACCTACACAACGAGATATGAGTTGTCTTGTTCAGGATCTGGATGGAAAATTGTTGAAGGAGCAGTGCTTGAGTCATGATCAGATTCTGCAAGACTGCGACCCATAATTAGCTTTTGGTATATATTTCACTTGTTTCCATCTATTGAAATCTGTTTCCACAATCATCTGTGCATTTTCTTTTTGGTGGGGGTAAGAAATCATCTATGCTTTTGAATTGTCCTGTCACCTCTGTATTCCAGCTGTAGGTTGTCAACCTCCTTGAAGGTACAGTTGTTGCAAGGATGGGTAGGGTTAATAACAATGCCATATGAATGGCACCGAGTTAAGGGTTAACGTGGGAGGGCAACTGCTAGTCAGGGTACGTTTGGACAAGTCACGAGTGAGAAGGAATAAAACGTAGGGAGTGAAAAATGAGTAGAATAAATCGGAATAAAGCGCCACAGATATTACATGATCCCTTTTTAGTGTTCTATATTTTCATTCCTTGCTATCAAGCATGTTGAGCTCGGTAGCCACTAGGCGTCTATGCCTTTATTGGGACGGGGTTTTCACTTGGGGGTTATCTTTCTTTGTCCATTTTAGAGTTGCGGGATTCCTGTGGTCAGAATTTTTTAAAAAAATTTTGTATAGGATTTTCAGGAAGCATATATAATCTCGTGATTTTATAAATGACTTGTAGATTTTCCATTTTAAATTGTTATTGATATTTTTTAACCCAAATACAATTTTTAATTTATTTTTGTCTGTATGAAGTGATAAATAAGTAAAATTGACATGTCAGATGATTTGTGGGGGGGTTATAAATCTGAAATCATATGTAAATCTCTTCCCGGTTTTAACCCAGCAATATCTTCTTTCCTTTTTCTCCTTCAGTGTTTAATGTGTATTAGTTTACTGTACGAGGTGTTTGGATAGAAACCAAATTATAATTTTAAAAGTGTTTTTACAGTTTATGAAGTAAATTTATTGAGGAGTTTGTCTTATTTTATAGAAAAGTGCTTCTTAGGATTGTCAAACACTCTTTAGTTGATGTTGGACGTCGTACTGGATCGTTAAAAAGGGAGGAGGCTTTTCTCCGCTCCCTGCTCCTATTTGCTGTGACGCTGTCTTTAGTTACCCAAAAACAGGAACCAAAACGGTGCCGTTTTGGGGGTAAAATGAAAGGGGGCGTGAATTTTTTTTTTGAATTGACATGATATCCAATATTTTAAATTATTTTTTTAATAGTATTCAGTTTCTTAAAATAATTTTTGGTATACTCAACAAATTTGAATATTTTGCAGGAAGTATTTTAAAATAATTTTTGGAACACCCAATACTGTAAAATGCTTTTTTCAATGACACCTATTATTTTAAAGTAATTTTCACATTAAAAGTATTTTTAGAGTAGCATTTAGTATCCTAAATTTATGATGTTTGTTGCTACTGAGACAAACATTTTAGGATATTGGTGTACAAAAAATTATTGCAAGATATTGGATACTACCAAAAAAAAATGTTTTAGAATGTTAAGTGTGTGCTGGATGTTTTTGAAAAAATATTATAATTTGTTGAGTGCATCAAAAGTTATTTTAAAATATTAAATAAAAAAAATTTTGAGATACTAAATGTTATCTTGAAAAAAGTAATGAGATGCCCCTCATTGTACTCCCAAAAGTAGGGGTGTTCAAAGCCGGCCCGTCCCGGTCGGCCCGTTCCGGTCCCGGTCTTATTGGGACGAGACGGATCCGTCCCGAAATTTTTCGGGACGGGACAAAAAAGGGACCGGGACGGGACGGGACACGGGACAGGGTCGTCCCGTCCCGGTCCCGTCCCGGTCCCTTTTTTTTAAAAAAAAAAATTTAATTTTTTTAACTTTTTATATAATATCATTTTTTTCATATTTTTTTAAGATTTGAGACTATTGTATGGAATTATGGATATATTTATTTAGAGTTTTTATATTTGTTAATGATTTGAGATTATTGATGATTAGATTTTTAGCAAGTTTTTATTGTGTTAAAAGCTTTTGTTTAGAGTTTTTAATAACTATTATATGTAATATTTTGAGCTTTTGTTTAAGAGTGTCCAAACAAATAAAAAAGATGTTTTTATAAGATTTAAGGTCAAAAAATATAATTAAAAAAATCAGATTTTTTAAAAAAATTTAAAAAATTTAAAAAAAATTTAAAAAATTAAAAAAAAATATTTCGGGACGTCCCGGTCCCGTTCCGGATCCGTCCCGTCCCGACCGGGACCGGGACAACCCCGGGACGGGCCGGGACACGGGACAAATTTTCTGTCCCGTTACTGTTCATCGGGACGGAACCGGGACGGGCCTGTCCCGGTCCCGATCCGTCCCGTGAACACCCCTACCCAAAAGGGCAGCAGAGGGGGAGCAAGCATCGGAGAGAAGCCTGCTCCATTAAAAAGATGTGTTCACCAGGAAAAATGTTCTGCGAAATGAAAGGGTTAAGAAAACAATTTCGAAAATTTCTGTATCCGCCAGGGAGGATCTGGGCTTCCATCGTTTGGGCTCTGGTTCCCAGCCGAGCGTAAAACCCAACTGTTTGAAGTCACCTCTCTCGGTTTACTTGTAGGCAATGGATCCATAGTTCTATACGATAGTTTTAACGAGAATAAAATATCGTGTACAGAAGTACAGGAAAGATGGAGATTGCGAGGAGGAACAATCACACTATTATGTACAATTATTTTTTCGAGACGTAAACAGAGCCTAATGGGGAACCGCACTGGCTAAATAAATCGTTATCCGCTTGTGCTGTGTAAATGCAACTGTTGACTTGTCTATCTCCGGAAGAGATTCATAGGGCGACAGGCCTTGCGTCCTTCCAATCTTGCGATTTCTTGCTCTTGATTCGACCGAAGAAGCTAAATCCCAAAGTCTTCTTTGGGGGATCGTCTGATTGTATCAGACCAACCAGTTTCGCAACAAGCATAGCACTCTCCCTAACGTGGTACAAGTCTTCGGTATTAGTCCATACTCTCCAAGCCAATTGTACGCTTCTGTGCTTTGTCTTCACATCAATGCACCACTTCTGATAAAGTTCATATCTTTCCTTGGAGGCAAATTTCTTGTGGATTAGCTTGCTTAGCATTTTCCTCTCTCGGTTGATAGCCTTCAGGCTGTCCGGGGGGGAAAAAGCGAAAATTAGTGCAAAGAAAACAGCAGTAACTTTTAAACATAGAAATTTGGCCAAACAAAACCTTCAAACATAGAAATACTTTTCTAGTTGCAGATTTCATTTCCGAAAACTTTATTTCAGGCATGTAATACCAAACTACCACAGGACAGTGCTCTTCATATTTTCACATTTGAAACACCTTAGATGGGATGGTGCTCAGTTTGGCTAAACAATATCATGGTGGGTATTCTTACACTTAATGTGAAATCTTCTAATCTACATGCAAAAAAATTCTATTCAAGCACTTTAAACTTGTTCTTTTTTTTTGTTGTTGGAGGGTTGGATAAGCAAGCGTTGCTTTTAAGGGTCACAAAAATTATTTCAGCCATAGTAGTTCTTACCCATACACAACTCCTTCTCTGGGGCGAGCTAGGATTTGATATTTCTTCTGAGTAAATAGACTAATCCGCTAAAGGCCGGAAACTAGAAGAATAGAAAAGGTCGGTTGTTTGACCTCAAAGTGTAGAAGGTTTTATTAATGCAGGTGTAAACCAAACATAAACACGTGCAGGGCATATTGACCGGTATCTTGCTTGTGTGCCCGAATCTAACGAAAAACCACCTGAAGGATAGGAAGAAAATACCTTGAATCAGGTGAGATATTCCGGCCGTCTTCTCCCACGAACTTATTGCCACTAGAAAATGCATCCTTAATAGAGGACAAACGTCTGAGCTCTGCGTTCAAGTATGCAGAATCTGGAAGTTCTCCCTTCAGGAGAAGTAAAAAATAGGACCTATGAACCAAAGGAACGTGGCAGGTGTGCCAGAGCTCGATTATATATCTCTGGAGCCCCTCAAATTTGTAAGGTAACATGGAATTTGGCATTTCACCAAAGTTGATGCTCTTTGCTCTATCCGTACGATCATTGAAGCCAGATGCCTTTGCCATTACCTATCACGCATGCAATGAAAATAAATCATGCGTTTTTTTCCTTTGGAGGCCTACAAACGACCAAAAGCTTCGAGAAAGATATAAGACAGGATAAAACTTTTTGGGTTTGCCATAGCATGCACTCGGACGAAAATTTTATCAACCGTTAATCTTGTTCGTTCACTTTCCGTTTCTTAAAACAGTCATTTCCCGATCGGCAACACTTTGATGTAAATGTGTAAAATCTGACAGGGTCATCAGCCGTAAATGTAAAGAGCATCGAAAAAATCAAATCACGAGGGCAACCTCATGGGATATCCTGTAGTTATAAAACAAACAAGGCTCCAAATTTTCCGGCCCTCCTCCGAGACAAGGTGAATGAATTAAATTTAGAAATTCAAAACTACGGGCCCGAGGAGAAGGTGAGAAAGGACAGAATTGGACAGCAGCTTCAAGTCGTATAAAGAAAACCCAAGACACTCTTCGCGGCAGGGGGCGCACGCATGCATTTTATAGACAGTGCATGCATGCAAAATGGTTATTCCAATGTTCCTTCCAAGGACCACCTAAACCTCCTCATTCCTCCGTCAAACGTACAGAGCCTCTGAAATTTTTCGCGATATGTACAATTTACATGCTTAACGAACAAATCTCATTACCTGCTATCTGAAGACAATAATATTCCTATTTAGTTCCAGAATAGGCCAGCAATGAGGTTCACATGATCTATTAATTGGACATGCTAATTGCTTGCCACCGATACTCGAGTAGCTAGCTATCAATTAAGAAAAAGAAACATTATATATCATGTGTACTACAACAAGAGTATATGAGTTAGGGAGTAGGTACTTACCATAAGATCATCGAAGTCCTTCTTCAATGGCGTTACCTCAGATCTTGTTTTCATTTCCACAACAAAGTTGAGGACGCTAGCAGTATCCTCCGCATCAGAATCCATGAGAGATTCTACTTCACCTATGGTATCCAACCCGCGAGTTCGGGAATGATTTCTGGACGACTTTCTTTTCTTGTAATGTAACTTTGGTTTAGAGAGCTTGTCTTCAAAGCGTGCAGAAGTTGTAGAGCATTCCTTTTCAACCCTAGCTGCTGATGCGTTTGCTTCTTGTTCCAGCGCATCCAATTTTGAAGATGACATTGGCTCATAAAATTTAAGAGGTGGCTCAGATTTCTGATCCAGCTTATTGAACTGAAAGGTTGACACCGTTTTCAGCTCCAGATTGTCGAACCGGGGAGATTTGGGCACTAGCTCAGGGACTTGAGCACGCGATATAATTTCCCGATCCACTTTATTGCAATGAGAAGATGTAGCAGCCAAAGTTGGCCTGCAACTTTTGCTTCTGCTGAATGGTACTCTTCTAGAAATAGCAAGGGGTGATTCTGAAGACCCTTTGGATTTTTCCGATAGGCCAACAAGGCGGTCGATGGTCTTCTGAAGCTCCTGAATTTTTTGTTTTAGAGCATCAGAGCTATCATCTTCGGCAACATGATTCAGCTTACCGTCCTTCCTCCTTAGGGACGATTCAGCATCTCCATTCAATACCACTCTCAGGGGTGATTTTCCTTCTCTTTCTTCAGAAGAATGAAAGGATGAATCAACACCTGTTTGGCGCCCGGTTTTAACTTCTTCAATCTTAGTGCATCGAACTTCCGTGCAGCTGTCCTCTGATTCCGCACTACCTCCTTCAGCCATGGCATCCCAACCTGGATCCGAATCAGGCCCGACAAACTTGGGGTTATTGCCGTCCAAATGGACTTTGGGGTCATGATTCTCACGTTGCCGTGCATGGTCCTCGTCATTGTTTAAAACCACACCAGATATCGGTCTATCGGGATTTTCAGTAGAGCTTCCGCAGCCGGGGTCCTGATCAGGGTGGAGATTATTGAAAACACCCGGCGATATAGGGTTTGAATCTTTATCGTTCCTTAGAAACTGATGTTTCCCAGACTGAAGCAAGGTTTCAACCCGAGACTGAAAGATATCACGCTGCCGAGTTAATTCTTTGATCTCCTCATCCATCTGTGTAATTTTTCATTAGGGAAAAAAACCTTGTCAAATTCAGGGAAAATAAAATGATTTAAATGAAGTGTTCTGCCAAATGTGAGCTTGTTTCTTTGCTTTTTCCTTCTGCATTGAACTTGTTTCTGGGCATTAGGCGTCACTCTCTCTCCTTTTTTTTTTTTTTTGACCTGGCAGTCGTCACTCGACAACACAAAGAAAAACCACCCTGGGTGTCACGAAGACAAAATTAAAAACACGCATACGCACAAACTCCTCTCAATGTGTACAGCACGCAGGTAGTTATTTTTCATCGGTGGGCCCTCAGCCTGCAATAACAGATTTACAAGCAGTACCTTAAAAGGTCAAAAACTCTGTATGGGGCAGAAATTGTCACCCAGATTTCTTGACAAAAGCCATATTTCACGCTCAACGCAAAGAGCGATCATTTTTAGTATGTTCTCACTTTTTATGGTATAGTTGCTAATCTTAAATTCGATTTCGGATCATTATAACAAGACATCGACCATCCAAATCTAATTTGAATAACTTAGATCTGGAGTTTCGAATTTAAAATATTTTTAATAATTAATTATTTTGGAAAAAGAAAAAGTTAAGAGATTATCCTGTTTTAAAAAGCGAAAACCCATTTTGTTGACCCTCACCTGTTTGATCAGAAGTTCTCGCTCAAGCAAAACGGTATTGGGTGCCAAGTTTCTGAGCTCGTTCTCCATTCTGGCCAACTCCTTCCGCAGTTGCTGCACCAAAACCTTGTCTGTCATTACTACATTAACCTGCGCATTGGTAGCCACTTGCTTTGCACAACCAGCGAAAAGTAGGGTATTTCTTGACTGCTCAACATGACTGCGTGCAGGATTAATGGTGCAAATGATGGCAGTTCTGGCATTACCTCCTAGAGAATTATGAAGGATGCGAGTTAGCTTGGATTCTCTGTAGGGTATGTGTCCATTTCTTTCCTTGCTGCGTCAAATAATGAACTAGAGTTTAGGCAGTCTTAAAGTAATTAATGAACTGATATGGTAAAGAGGAAAATGATGAAGAATTATAAAGAGAAGAGCCTATGAATGGCAACCAAGAGAAACAAGTAGCTCCATTATTTGACAAAATTTATAACATAGAAGCGGACTAAATCATTTCTTGAAAGAAAATAAAAAAGAAACCTAACCTAGAAGGATAATTACAGCAATCAACCTAGCCGCTAAATCCCAAATAAATACTATAGAAGATGCCACATCAACGAGAAAAGTAATTATTCTTTGAAATAAATTGAATGCAATGAAATAAAATATGCTCCACATAAAGACGAAGCATTAAAATGCCCATAAGTCCAATGCCAACTTGGCATCATTCTTTCGTATCGTCTTGAGGTGTTTCCCACGTCTGCATGTCAGTCTCTATGACCAGCAAAAGTAAAAGTTATGGTGAATTCCACCAAGCCTCTGCAAATTTAGTTTTTGGATTAGACTGATTCAGTAATAAGAAAGAATCTTTCTTCTTCCTATTTCCTTTCCGTTCTCTCTTCACCTTCCACTTTCTTCCGTACCTCATTTCTCCCACTTATCTCCCTGCTAACGAATTTCCAATATTGTCACGCGGGGCAGTGATGAATCATAGTCCCTAGTCAGAAGGGGCCAGCGCTTCATAAATCCAATGAGAACATGCATATATACATCGGCTATGTTATTTTCCTTGACCCAAAATTTATGGGTGCTTATGTTTGGTTCAGAAAGGAACTTGTGGTTTTTTTTTAAGCTAAAAGGCATCGATTCCCCGTTAATACAGAAGAGGTTACTTCGGCTATTGTTGAAATTTAGCCGAGGTGTAATTGGTGAATTTGGCAAGGAAAAGTAAATAAATATATAGATGCTAACAAAACTTGTACCTTAATTTGCGAATTACGGTTCCAAGGGTAAGTAAACTGCGATTTATATGGCTACCCTCTCTCAATCTTGCACCGGCAGTCATCGCTTGAGAAGCTCGCTCACTTCCAGCAAGATCGACAAAATTCTGTACGACGCAACAAACTCTTTCATTCCCTGGACTATTATGAATACATAGGCTCTATTATAGAATAGAAGGGTTCAAAGATCATATACCACACTAGCTACGAGAGTGCCAGAACTTTCAGCGCCTGCATAACGATTAGGAGAACTTTCGACTGTCTGCATGATTTCATAATTTTGTGAAGAAGGAAAAAAGAAATATTCTAAATTACCAGACAATGTAACCATAAAGTAAATACCAATCGAATAATCTGATGGGATCTGGAGCTACTTTCATTCATGGATGTCTCTTCTGTTGTCCTTTCAGCTACAAAAATGCCAATAACACGCGAGAGCGCATGGTTTTTATATCTTGCAAAAGCTCACAAGAAAGCATCAAAAGCAGAACGACCAAAACTTAATAGGCACCAATACCGGCGCAAATAGAAAGGAGTTTCTGCAAGTCGCTCCATTCGGTCAAAGTCTCTTCCGTAAGCTTCTCGATAATTGTCCCTTTCTGTTCGCGGCACAGATATTCACGATCATTCAATATTAATACTAAACTACTAAACACAGATACTCTAACAGAACAGAAGAAAACGATAAAAAAAATTTACCTCTGGATCATCTAGAAGTCTCAGTTGGGCACTATCTACCATGAGAAGGTCTCTGACAGCTTCATTATAGATCTCCATCGCAGAAAATTTCAAGACAAATTCTCTTTCTTTGTGCTGAGACACAAAAATATGTTATCTTTTGCATGCTAAGTCTATTTCTTTGCATGTGGAGGCTAAGACTAACATTGCTTTTTTATACCATATTTGTGTAGTCGTATATATCCCTCACTGCATATTCAGTAATTCCAGTCATGGTGTATGTCTTTCCACTGCTCGTCTGCCCGTATGCAAAAATGCTAGCTGAATTACCATTTCATCCATGAGAGAAGGTACGTTGACAAGCCAACACAACATGAGAAAAGATATATAACTAAAGCTTAGAAGTTAGCTAAGGAGGGCTACATACAGTTGACACCGCTAACCACTGAGAGGGCTATTTCCTTAATCCCTTCCTCATACACCTGCTGTGTGGAGCAGTCATCCCCAAATACCTTGTCTGCCTCGAAAAGATTGGTCAAGAAAATAGAATTGAAGAAAAGGAAAATAGGTGAGAGAAATGCTATCGTCATTTCATTGCCCAAATTAAACTGAAAAGATAAAGCCAGTGCTATGCTGGAGCGCAGTCCACTATTACTATCAAGGGCATGATGCTTTCATTTTTTGAAACTATAATTGCACACAACCATAAAATTGCTCTCGAAAGCTATTTATTTTAAAAGGTGTTTGGGTAGAAACTAAATCATAATTTTCTAAACGATTTTTATCATATGACAAGTAAGAATATAAGTGTGTGAGAAGAGTTTTATTTTGATTTACGTAAAGTGTTTTTGGAGTGCTCCAAACACCCTCTTAATTAGAATTAAGCCCATGTCAAGACACCTTCATTTAGTCGTAAATAGTTAATTCCAAGCTCAAATATGTGGCATAGTTCATAGCAAGCAGACAGTCCCTTGAATTTATGGCAATCACAATGAACATTAAACAAAAAAAGGGATGAAATAAGGTCAAAAGCTTAAAAACTGTGTGGCGACTGTTCCAGACAGATTCAAATTCCCATGACAAACTTCTCGCGACGAGACGATCTTATCGTATTGAAAGGGGGAAGAGGAATGGAAGCAGAATTAGTAGTCTAACATTTTGATTACCAAATGTATGGGTATCCATTGACGACGATCGTTCTGCTGGGTTGTTTTTAAATCTGATGGTGTTGCCATCAATGCAGTTCCATGCTGATACGTCTTGCCTGACTATCTCATTCTCGTTCAAAGGCCTGATTCGGATTGCAACAAAAATTCTCTCCTCGTTGGCATTTGAACGGCGCGTGTCTCCAAAATCTTCTCGTGCCATTGATAATGTATTTCTCATGCATGTTTCCTCAAACAGACTGAGGCGTTTAAAATCCCATATTGCTTCAAACGAAAGGGAGACAGGACACACGACACAATGACATTCCGCATGCAACATCGAGCTGATTCATGACAAGTTTCAGTTCCGTTTCTTCAGCCTTTTCTACATCTGCCACATCATTAACCAAAGTTACAACTTACAAACGCCGTGTGCAAAACCAAAATCTCAAATTTTATCATTTACCTGTTCGATCATAATGCAGCAGACGACGGGGACTTTTGAAGGATCAGATTTTCCCACGTCCAGCGAAAAAGGAAAAATAAAATATGTATTGATCAAAAAGACTAGTGAAATTCAAATCGTAGAAGCAACCCAACTTTTCAGTCGATGCTAAAGGAAAATAACGCACTGGAGGATACCTTTCTCGTTTCGTGGTTGCCGGAGACAGAAAGGGACGGAAAAGCCGTTGGACTTTCCCTCCCTCCCTCAATTTGGATTCGCACCGACCAGCTAAATAAAACCGCGAGGGCGACCCCAGGCAATCGAAAATCATGTTGACGCTCAATCGCTATTTACGGTTTTGCCTGTCTGAGAGGCTGGATAGTAAATACTGCTCCTACTCAATACAAGATTTTGTTTGACTTTTATTTTGATCTTTAATATAAGACCTTAATTCACTTTATATTTTTTTTCAAGGTAGTCCTTCTAACAATAGTAGTTTTAGCCAATACACTTGACTAGTAAGGATATTTTAAGAAAAACAACACTGTTTATTACAAATAACTAATTTAACTTCTTTCCTTAATTTCCTCAAATTAATCAACTAGCTCTTATAATTAGGACCGGAGGTAGTAATCAATATTACGTACAGTAGTTGATACAAAAAATTAATTTGATTTTTAATCAGTTGTTAAATATAATATTTCAATTTACTTTTTATCTTATTTTTATCTATTTTTTTAAAAAAGTTCTTATAATGATGGTGCATATTAAAAATTTTATGGTAATTTTAATTAATACACATAATAATAAAATATTTTTAAAAATATATATTTATTATAAATAACTAACTTAACAAATTTTTTTAATATACTTAAATTAATTCACTAATTCTTATATAGAAAAGATGAGGTAGCGTCCCATTATTCCAGTGTTAGCATTTTCTTCGACCCCTTGACCGATCATGGCTTAAAAAAAAAACAAAGAGAGAGGGAGGGACAGAGAAACGCCCTGATATACTAGTTCTGGTTTTTAATATAAAATTATGTTTGAATTTTATTTTAATCTTAAATATAAGATCTCAATTTATCTTGTCTTTTATATTTATCCATTTTTTCTCAAAGTAGTTTTTTTAATAATGGTAGTTCTAGCCAATATACTAGATTAGCAAAGATATTTTAGAAAAGACAAATCTATTTATTACAAATAACTAATTTAACTTATTTTTTTAATATATTGAGATTAGTCAATTAATTGTTATAGTTAGAATTGGAGATAGTATTTATTTGGAACATATACAACGTAACGGAGGTTCGTAGCATAAATAAGCGTAACCATTAAATATGAGGCAATCTGCTTGGTGCGAATAAAAGACAATATTTGGGTCAAAAACAAAAAGAATGGAAGAGAATGTAAGGAAAAATAAAGCTTGGTAAAGGAGGAGAGCGTGGGAACTGGTGATGTGGCAGTGTGGTACGTGGTTTTTGAATTTTTTCAATCCCACTCAACGCCGCTGGTGTGGATGTGATTCCATTTCCGTGTCGACATTTGATTTTGACTTATTAGTGGCACAGTGACAGATTAGTGATTGAGTTATTAATGTTACAAAGAATAGAGGCTATGTTATCACTGCGTCTAATTGTTGATATAAAAATTAGTTGATTAATTTAAATATATTAAAAAAATTAATTATATTAGTTATTTATAATAAATAGATATCGTTTTTCTTAAAATATTTTTACTAATTAAGTATATTGGCTAGAACTATTATTATTAAAAATACTAATTTAAAAAAATAAATAAATATAAGAGACAAAGTCAATTGAGGATTTATACTCAAAACCAAAATAAAAAAAAATTCTTATAGTAAGGACTGAGAATAGTAGTTTATAATGCACAGTGATTCAGTTGAAAACCCTAAAATTACAAAAATTAATTAATTAATAAATACTATATTTTTAGTTTTTTTAATCTTAAAATCATTAATACAAAAATATGATGATGAAATATTAAGTATTGATAGAATATTATCAAATGGTAGCGTATTAAATTTAATTTTTAAAATAACAATGATGGTTAAAACAACACGAGATAAGATTAATAATTTTATGATTAAAATATTAAAATTATACATTTTAAAGCTAAATAATTAAATAATTAAAATCCTAGCTAAAGTTAAAAGACAAATATACTATTTGGCCTGAAAAACAAAAATTGTTTGAACAATCCTCTATTCATATCACATGTTAGATTAATTGTGGGACCAAATCAAGGTAGGCTTCAATTAATAACGAGAACTATATGTGAATTATCAAATATTTTTTTTGCTAAATATGAATTATCAAATATATTTACGATAAATAAAATCTAAAAAAATACTGTAACTTTGAGTTATTGAATTTTTTAAAATAAATGAAAATAAATTCAAGACGCCACTTTTCTATTGGTTCACTATTTTCTGGTTCTAAAGTATTTGGAACAGAATACTCCTTAGATTCTGCTTATAAGTCACTTTTAATATGTTTTATGCAGATTAAGAAAAATCTTAAATTTCATTAAATATTATTTAAAATTTAACAATTTTTTAATTTTTTTCTTATTTAATATACATTATACCTCATTTAAACAAAATCAACACAATAATAAATTAAAAATAAAAATTGTGCACGCATATAAAATTTTTTTTAAATACCCTATAAATAAGATTAAAAAAATCTTTTATTTTTATTCTATAAATAAAATCAGAAGAGTATATAATAACATTCATTAGTCTCATCTATCAAATTCAAAGTGACTCTGTAAGGCCTAAAAATCACACTAACGTGCCCCGGGCAAGGGCAAAATCTAATTAAGACGTATGCTCTTCAAATAATTAAAAATGAAAATAATTTGAATTAATATTAGTCAAGATAAAATTATCATTAAATGAATTGTAATAAACTTTTTTTTTTTTTTTTGGGAAAAAACGCCATCCTTCACGCGTGGCGGTTTGCATAACTTGCGGCTCCCCCGTGAGGCTGTGAACTACGTGTGTTTACCGCTGCGCGCCAGAAAATATCCTTCAGTTTCTTCTGGTTCCATGCGGCGAAGTTGGCGCGAGAGGGTTTGAACTTTGAATTTTCCATTTAAAGTATAGCCGAGCAGCAGTCTCGATTCTCCTCTTCTTTCGACAAGCAGGAAAATTAATTTCCTATTAAAATCACATTTCGCTCTCGTTATTTTATATAGAAAAAAAAAAGAGAGAGAAAGAAAGGAACAAAACTCCGGCTGATTAGTCACCCATCGCTTGTCATTGAATGCATATTCATGCTTTTGAGCAATGGACGATTCCTCAATATTGTCGCCTACACAGAAATATGCAGCGGCTGCTCTGTTTACGCTCGCACTTAACCGGACACAAGTCCATCAAACTGGAAATCGGAACGACGCAATTAATCGCAACAAAGAAACCATACGTGAAGGCGGGGCGAAAATTGCCGTTTCAGACAATCCCGATCTCTGGATTCACGATAAATTTAGTCTGCTCTGGCCTGTTTTTAGGTAATCAGTCTATACAATAAGTTGAAGTGTGAATGGATTTTATGTTGTAAATTTAAGTTTCATATTCGGGGAATAAACAGGTCCCTTGGGGTGGATGACAAGGCCTTGCAAGGCCTAAAGCAAACCGCTAGTTCCTCTTCACAATTTTGGCATCATTTGGGAGCTGTACGTCTTATTCGTTCTCTTTCATTTCATGTTCTGTTGTGAATCAATAGCGTTTTCTGCCTCCCTGCCTCTCTGTGTATTCACTCCCTCGTTTCTCTTTGTAAGTCACTGTCAAGGAAAAATTTTGTTTCTATTTATATGTCGCTCTATAATTCCCAGACGATGTTAAGTATTGCTTTTCCAAAGATACCTTTTTTTAGTACCTTCAATTTTTCTTATAGAATACGTTCAATTATTTTACAACGCACGTTAATTACCGCATTTTAATACGGGTATGCTTGCAAAAATTGAGAATTGAGAATTTTAACACAACTGCTTTTCTTAATCCAGTGCAAAACCTCAAACCTCATATGAAAAGAAACGGATATGGTTTGTTTGTTTGTTTGTTATATACTGCATTACTTATCACTTTATATGTTATATGTTAAGAATGGTAATTAATATCATTTCAGTTCTTGACATTGCTGTCGGAGGAAGGTGATGGTGCCTCTTTAGACCGACTGGATAAAGAGCTTGCTTTGACAAAAGCTATTGATGCTACGGCTGTCAGCATGGAGGGTGTCCCTGATTCTAAAGAGGTGGAATTTAAGAATCTCGAGGACAAAGCTAGAGGCCAAGACAATTTTTGCAATACCAAGGCATCGTCCTCTGTTGTGGCTACTGCTAAGCCTCATGAGACCAAGGAGAACTCAGCTCTGCATGTGTCCACGGAGACAGCACCTTCCACGGGACCTGAAAATGACGCTTTCGATCAACCTATAAAGGAGGCGAATCTTATCAGTTACCAGAGGAAAATGACTGTTCTTTATACACTTCTTTCAGCTTGTGTGGCAGATACTGCTGAAGTTGACGAGCAATGCTCTCATTCAAGACAGGGCTATGACGCTCGACACCGTGTAGCTCTGCGGCTGCTTTCTACATGGCTTGGGGTTAAGTGGATTGAAATGGTGCGTGCGTTGTATACATTTTCATCTCCACCATTTTACCTAATGTATCAGGTTATATGTCAGTTTTCCAAAAGGCTATCTTTGCATAGGGATCTGGTGCAGATACTAACATGTGCACAGCATGGTTCCTTTTTTTTTTTTTTTCCCCCAGAAAAATGACCTCGTGGCGGTATTCCATTGCTAGAAGTTTACTTTTATTAGAATTTCTTGCAGGAAGCAATGGAGAAGACAGTTGTTTTTTCTATAATGGATTTGGCGAGGGAAAAAAATGCAAATGAAGAAGAACCTTTAGCTTTGGAAAGTAACTGGGACAAATGGAAGCGTGGAGGTATAATTGGAGCAGCTGCTGTCACTGGAGGAACCTTAATGGCTATAACCGGGGGTATATATCTGTATACGCAGCCTACCATTTTGATGTCTGGCGCAATTGAGATAATATGAATATCTTTTGACATTTAAATGCTGACATGAATACTTCGACAGGTTTGGCTGCCCCAGCAATTGCACATGGGTTGGGTGCTTTGGCTCCTAGCTTGGGTACTCTTATTCCTGCCGTTGGAGGCGGAATTGCTACAGCAGCAACTGCTACAGGATCTGTTGCTGGCTCTGTTGCCGTTGCTGCATCATTTGGAGGTAAAAGAAACAATCATGCTTCACATATACGGAGATGTTAAAAGAAAATAACATCTAAAGCAAAGCAACCCTATTCAGCCTTTCTTTCACTTTTTTCTTTTCAGCGGGCTTTTTTATGGAAAAATTATCCATAGGTCGCCAGCAAGAAAATTAAGTACTAAAGGTCCCAAGGAATTGAATATTTTTACAAGTTTGACTTTTAAATATGCAATTTTGACTTATAAATATAGAAGTTTGACTTGTGAATATAGATTGTTAAATTTTACTTATAAATATGTAAATTTTACTTGTAAATATTCAAGTTTGACTTATAAATATGAAATTTCTGGAATCTCTCAGTCTTTAATTTTCTTAGCTCGGGCCAATGGGTACTTTTCCCTTTTTTCGGGGTGTCACTTTGACAGTTTATCATTGTATGGATAATGTTCAGTTTCCTCTTTTGTACATCAGCTGCTGGAGCTGGCCTAACTGGAAGTAAAATGGCTGTGAGAATCGGAAGCCTTGAGGAATTTGAGTTAAAAGAAGTTGGAGGCAACTTTCAAGGTGTAAGTTCCAGACGCTACTGTATAATACATATTACCTGTAAACTATCGTGAACGAATGTCTGTTTCAGTGGTTTGCGAGAAAGTGAGTCAGTACATATGTTAGCGCTTTGTAAATGCTTTGGTGATGAATCTAACATCTTTAGTTAATCACTAATTACAACAATGTGGTAATTGATATTAAAAACAAATCCTCCTTTTTCAGTGTCTAGCTGTTGGAATCTACATATCTGGTCTTGCATTTGAGGAGGAAGATTTCTTAAAACCTTGGGAAGGTCAAAATGGTGATTTAGAGAGGTACGGAAACGTCAACATATTCATCAAGAAATAACAGTCTGGGGAATTTTTAATCTGCGTAATCTACCAAATGTGAAAATGAAGTTTTATCTTTGGCCCCCTTTTTCTAGATTTGGTGTTCTTGAGATCTCTTTTGCATGTCTTCATGATAAGTAACCTTTTGAATTGCAAGGGAATTTCAGATATGCTAATATCTGAAATATTATGTAAATTCTCTTAGTCATGAAGCTTTAGTCATGTGTGTTAAGTGTGGTTAAAATTGTGGAATGGGGTGGCTTGTGTGACGACATTCAACCAGCTTATTTTGTGCTAGAAGACAAAACCATGCTTCACTCCTATAAATTGCATAGTCAACATTTTGAGCATGGCTTATTGGAGATATCTAGCCAACCTCATTTTTCATTTTTCACTGTTCTACAGTGCACAGGAATAAATTTCATTGCTTTTTCAAGCTATACATATCATGCTGGACAACCCTTTAGATACAAGTAAAGGAATGCAAAGGAGGAAAAGGATTGCTTTGTGAAGCTATAGTCTTAGCTTGGAGTCATCCACTGATTCCAAAAACATCAAGTGTAGTTAAGCCACTTCGTGTGCTTCCCTTGCTTCCATTTGTGAAAACTTGTTTGATCTCTTTGGCTGTGGATGGAGACTATAACTGAACCCTGTTAATTCCTTATGTCCATTATTTTCACCACTAATTTCAGTGATCCTTTTATTGGGTCCTCCATTTCCAGTGTCGTGTGCTTCCTATTGAAATTTATTAGATTCTCCTCATGAGTTCGCATTAATTTTGTTGAGTGTTTACATATTTATATCTAATTCTTGAATCTAACAACTCACATCTGCAAATAGGTATGTGCTTCAATGGGAGTCCAATAATTTGATTGCGCTGAGCACAGCTATCAAGGACTGGCTTACATCACGTAATTTCTTTGGACTTGTATCCATTAAGTAATGATTGACTTGATTTAACATTTTCTGACTATAAGCATTTTTAGCTTATTGCAGAAATGGTTAAGGAGTTGATCACAAAAGGTGCAATGACGACAGTATTAAGTTCACTTGTGACAGCGTTGGCATGGCCAGCAACTTTAATTAGTACCTTTGATCTTATAGACAACAAATGGGCAATTGCAGCAGACAGGAAAGTTCTGTTCATGGCTGTAATGACCTTTTCTCCGGTTTGTAAAGTCCATGCTCTGTGATGGCTTTTTAATGAACGAAAAATCGGGAGCATACAGCCAAATTTTATTTCTAGGATAATGCATGACTGCCCCTGAATTTTCAATTTGTAGAGTTATATCTTCGTTCTAGTTGCTTAAAGTAATTAAAAAGTTACTGCTACAACGAGAAGCTACCATTCCACGAAAGCTTCCGCTTCACACTCCTGAACAAACAAATTCCTAACTTTATATAGTTTATTGAGATGCTCTTCCTTCTGAACATCAAAGATTACTGACTAGTATATTCACAAATTCATAACCTAGCACTGCGCCCTGGTTTCACAAACATCTCTAGTATGATACCTGTTCAGAAATACGTTTCATATAGAAAAACAAGGATATTTTTCTGTGCTTTTTTGGTGTGTAATTTATAAAAACTTTAAGCTTTTTATATTGTATTTACTTTGACCCTTCTCCATACCGGAACAGATCTGACAAGGCTGGTAAGGTGCTTGCTGAAGTGTTGCTAAAAGGACTGCAAGGAAACCGGTAAAACCATCTTATGGTTGGAAAATATTGATCATTACATTGCCTCGTTGCATATTACAACGTGCTTCATAGCTTTCTATCGATCGTCCAGACCTGTGACACTAGTTGGCTTTTCACTGGGGGCTCGCGTTATTTTCAAGTGTCTGCAATATTTGGCTGAGTCTGAAGGAGACAATGGTAATTTAGACTCCTCTTCTCTGGCTTTTCATACGACTGGTTCATTAATTGGATTTTATTTATAAACATTTCATACATGCTCTGCGCATTTCTGCAGCTGGACTTGTTGAAAGGGCTGTTATCTTGGGAGCACCAATCTCAATTAAAGACGAAAATTGGGAGTCAGCTAGAAAGGCAAATGGAATCTCTCTACATCTCCTCTTTCTCTTTTATTATAGTCGCCATGGTTTAACTTTTGCTCAGAAGATATTTAGTGATCCTGTCCTGCCCCTTAACAGATGGTGGCTGGAAGGTTTGTGAACGTTTATTCTACAAATGACTGGACACTGGCAATAGCATTCCGTGCTAGGTATGGACTGGATTCGCTTCAATTCACTCCAGCTATAATGAAAATATTGATTAGTTAGGTAGTTATCTTAATATCTGAAAAGACAATAAATCAGTACGGGCTAGCAAATGTCCGGTAATTATAGATTATCATGTGCTGCCGTTATTGTTTTCTGAAATGGTTGGTAAGTTTTTGTTTGTTTCCTCTTTTGTATCTTGTATGTGAATTTTATCGATATCAGCACCTTTATAAATTTATCTGTCATCATCTTTGTTATGATTTTTGTCAGTTTACTAGTCAATTACTGCATGTTTCTGAAATCATACGAGGCATTAGCTCAGAGAAGCCGCTAACTACTCCAAAGCACTTGAAAAGCGTGAGCTTTTAAAATATACTTGTATATTATTGTATATTGAAGCAATATCTTATGTGCAGTTTGCTTTCTCAAGGATTGGCTGGAATTCAACCTGTTGATCATCTTCCTGGCGTTGAGAATGTAAGCTGTTCATTCAGTGTTTTGTTCCAGCTGACATTTTGTGAAAAGACGCATTATTAAATTGCCCTAATCTGTTTCGTAGGTTGATGTGACGCAACTTATAGAGGGCCATAATTCATACCTCTGCATGACAAAGCAAATACTGGAGCAGCTTGAATTGGACAACTATTACGCTGTTTTCGGAAGTGGATATAAAATCACTCAGGAAGAATGTGTCACAAAGCCTAGCTAATTACTAGTTACTCTCTTTCCTTTGCTCTTCCTCACTCCCCGACTTTTGCCTTCCCATTTTTATTTCTTTTGATTTGCGATTATTATAGATGGAAAGAAAATAGAGTTCAGAAGTAATTGTTGGCGGAAGAGACAGATGGATCTGACCGAGACACGAGGACATTGTGACCAAGAAGCATGCAAACCCACTTGTTGATTTTATGCTGAAAGTTTGAGGATCCAAGCTAGCCGGGTTGAAACGCATTCGTTTGTTAAATTTGTCTGTGTTAAACTAAACGTTATAGCCGGTTTTTCGACCAGAAAAACATTATGGCTGGTTACCTTATAGTTTGTTGGGGAAAAAATTTACTTTTAAAGTATTCATTATCATATCTTTTAACATGGTAAATTGACATTTTCTTAATAGCTTGTCAGTATTGCATCATGATTAGGTCCTTCTTTTAAAAAGAGTATGTATGTATAAATAATTTTTTTATTAAAAACTAATTCCGTCCATTGCTTTGCATGGGAAGAAATGTGTTTTATATCCAAATATAACTCAAATGTTTTTAAGACTTTTTTTAAATTAGAAATTTTCAAAGAATTGGAGAATGTGATAATTTGTATCATCATATGGTACTACATAGTTAAAAAAATCAAGTATATTTTATATGTAATTTGAAAGTATAAAAAATTGCACCATTTTATCTGTAAGTTAGTAACATTACAACCTAACTTAACTTCCATAATAACATGAGCCATGTTAAAATAGGATTTGACGTGGATAGTGGGAAGCATGATGACGAACAGGTGAGCTCATCAATTCAGCCGGATCCATATAAATTTGCAGCAACCGCTTTGCCCACCACCAGTCTCTAGTACGCCTCTTGCTTCTTGTGATATACAATCTTTGAAGTCGTAGGCTTAAAGGCCAAGGCACAGTATATTTCAGAGGGTATCTTATTATTTGCTGGCTTTGGATATACATACTTTGGGAGCGTGACCTACCATGCAGCAATCAACCACCTTTCCACTGGTTGTAACGCATGATGACGATAAGCCATTATTAGGTCTCCATCCTCTGCAATTATTGGTTGGGTCGGTTCAGTGTAGGCTTCTGATTCGCATGCATATTTAAGCTATTTCCTTGCTTTTAGACATGTTCCTGTGACGTCTTTTGCCCGAGTCCTACATAGATGTCACTTGTGAGAAACTTGTGTGTAATGGAAAAGATAATTGGGATTTGGTCATGACTCATGACAACCTTTTCCTAGCCGCAAATTTGAAAAGATCATTAATGTTTGTCTGATAAAAAAAGATAGACTTTAATGAACCACTGTTCATTTGTCCCCTTTGAGATGAAAGAATCAGGCAATTGTATGAATGAGACGGTGAGCTGGGGGAAGGAGTTTCTGGTTGATGCCCGATTCTGTCAATAAATAATTGCAGTACTTTAGAAAATCTCAATTGCAACTAAAAACAGTTTTTGGCGTCTAGGACACTGCAACGCTCGTACGCTTATCCTAAAACCGAAGCAGACAGCAAATTCACAAAGGTCCCTCCCAAATCCCAATTGCTTTACTAGTTAGCGAACATCCAAGCCTGCAAAACTAGTCTAAGGCGCATCTTATTCACGAAATTGGTTAGACTTAACATACCAAAATTTAATAGATACGCAAACAAGTTTTATGTACTGATATACATGTTGATCATTTAAATTGTTGCATGGATGTATATTTATGTACAGAAAGCAGATGACATTAAGAAAAAGGCATGCGTGAGCCTGTGTTTGTGATGTTTGGAAGAGAAAAATAGAAGAGCATGGAAGTATTAATTATTTTGGGACGATGGGGATTCAATTTATGAGAGAAGTAGGGCAAGAAGGGCGCGCATGCAGTATGAGTGGGCGAGGTTTGAGGGCCACGGGGGGAAGTGGGGACAGAAGTGAGATCTAAGGCACATCCTTTTTGTGGACAGAGAGTGCTCGTTGGTTATACTAGATCTAACGCTCACAACTTCTCGCTGTTGTTAGCCCATCATACAGTCACATTCACGTACAAGTTTTTATATTTAAGCTTCTAGGGCGAGGGCCTCCCTGTACACCCTATCAATCTTTAGCCAGCCTATAGCGTACCAACAGATATGGAGAGGCTGAGAATATTTCAGCTCCTTTACTTCGTCTTTGCAATGTCAATTATTGGGCTTAAAGGCGACGACGAGCTCAATAATGTGACTGTTTCTAGTGAAGGTAACGCAGCACAAGCGAATGACCAAGCCAGGGGAGAGCTCAACAGCTCCAACAATAAGGCCGTGTTTAATACTAGTAAAGGCAGCTGGTATTACAAAGGAGGGAGAGGTGGTGGTGGTGGTGGAGGAGGCGGAGGCGGAGGAGGCAGTTTTGGATGGGGATGGGGAGGGGTGGTGGAGGAGGTGGCGGAGGGGGAGGAGGCGGCGGCGGATGGGGATGGGGGGGAGGAGGAGGAGGCGGATGGAAATGGGGATGTGGAGGGAGAGGGAGGGGAAGGAGACATGAGAAGGAGAGAAGGGGGAGGGGAGAGTATAGGGTGGGGGAATACGCGGAGTGCATGGGAAGAACGAGGTGCCGAGGGATGAGGCTGGACTGTCCGCTCCATTGCGGCGGACCTTGTTTCTATGACTGCCTCTATATGTGCAAGGCTCATTGTCGCCGACCATGAATCTTCCATTCTTTTCTCGTGCTTTCTCTCTCTCTCTCTCTAAATGATTCGTTTTGTCCGTACTGAATTAGTGGTTCCTTCTTTATCATCTGGTTGGTCGTTGACATTGATTAATGGGTGTGGATTAGATGGGGTCCCAGTAGTCTAACCGTTATTTGCTCGTGTTTAATTTCTTCGTCAATAATGTTGAGAAGATGATGGTGGTGGTGGTAAGCGAAGTTCCGCCCGTACGTATGTATTTCATTCATGCTAGCCAGGTAGCTGGTTATTATCACAAATTTGGGGCAGCCCGAATGAATAGTGATGATGAGTACGTACAAGGTAGAGCTGGGCGGCGCACTAGCCGGGCGTGGGAGGAGTATCCGGCAAGAGGAACCGGGAGGCGTGCCCTACCGGCAGCAGCACGTGAGCCCCTCATCTCATCACGTCTCTATCTGCTTGCTTGTCTTTTGCTTCATTTGAAAATTGAAATGCATGCCTTTACCCATGCGCTTGCGGAATCTTCTGGTTTGTCAGTTTCACTTTGTAATATTTGATTTTAATGGGATCCATTTCAACTCGCTTCCCTATATTGTTAATACTTAGCACCACCAGCTACTTCTCTTCGTTGTGTGCGTGTGCGTGTGTCTCTGGCATCAATTAAAGTAAATGTGAGGATGGGAGGGACTCGAGAGTATCGCCTTGTTTTCAATACTTGCCCACCAGTCTCTTAATCACCACTTGTATTCCAATGGCATGGCATGAGGTTGTAGCCTTCTTGGTTCTATCCCTCTTATAGGAGAGGGTTGTGGACTGGGTGGGTGTAATTGTTGTTTTTTAAAATAAAAATATCACGAGCAAAAAAGAAACGAACAAAAGCAAACAAGAGTACGACGAATCTACCAATTCCTTCAGTGTTGGGTTTAACATAAAATGCATGAACAGGTACCAAGTCCTCATGTGATTCTCTCACCGCAACCTCCGTCCGCTTCGCGCCTTCGCCTCTATTTTTTAGTCAGAAGGTTTAGGAAGAAAACAGAAGAGGAGAGATGAGAAATTGTATTTGATTCACAAAAATAGAGAAGGGGGAGGAAAAAAAATTATCTTTTAGTGCTCAGCTCTTCTTTTTCTGTTCCCCATAAATTTGGTGTTTTTTTAGATAGGAGAAAAATATTATGTTTTAATTTGACTAAATTATTCTTATCATTTTTTAAATATTTCAAGTTTATCCTTTTCAATAAAATTTTTTTTAACTCTTTGACCCACTATTCTTTTTAAATTTCAATTTCATCTTTTTTAGTAAAAATCATTTTAAATGATATTTGATAATAATGATATAATATTTTTTATTATGACTCTACTATTTTTCTTAATATAATATGACAGGTATATATTTTTTATGATATATATTTGGTAATGATAATGTAATATTTTTCTATGATATGTATATATTTTATGCATGTGAGATAACTTGTTTTTTTATATTTATAAATTAGAAATAATAATTTGATATAAATATAGAAATAAAATAATAAAAAACAAGGACATATTTATTAATTTATAATTAATTCTTCTCTTCTGAATCAAACAAGAAACATTTCTTTTCCTCTTTTTCCCTTCAATCAAATAACACTCATGACCTCAACCTCGAGGGGTTAGGTCAGCTGGCTGGGGCTGTCCTAGCTTAACCACAGGTCTCGAGTTCGAGTTGTGGGAATGCAGCACCCTGAGGGGCCAGAGGTCGCCGACCGAAAGGTTCCTTGCAAGCCCTCGATCCGAATTAGTTTGGGGACGTTGTCACGGCTGAAAGACGCCTATTTCCCTGGGATACCGGAGGAGAAATCCAAAAAAAAAAAAAAATAACACTCATGACCTCCTCTCACCTCCACTCTCCTTTCCTCCCTTCTAGCGAACCAAATAAAGTCTTTTTAGGCCGTCTAATCATTTATTTATGCGGAAAATCTTATAACAGTTTGAAGTAATTATTGTTCTATTCACCAAAGCAATTACTATTTCACATAATTTTATGGAACTTGATTCAAATTCAATAAGTTTGATGCCTGAACACAATTGATTTGGAAAGTCCATAATCAAATCTCAAGGTCGTTGTGGGATGACATCCTTTGTAGCCAAAAAAAAATAAAAAGGGTACATGTCATGTCCTCGTGTACTTTACATTTCTCGTGCGATCACTAATTTGAATATCAACTCTACAGCCTTGCAGGCCGGAACTTCCTCTGGACCTGCTGCATCCTTGAAAATAACCAACCAGTTAAACGAAAATAATAATTGGACTTTAATATTTTATTGATGATCAAATATCGAAGTAATTAAGGTCTATGAACAGTGCGTACATGAATGAAAATAAATACCTTCTCAAGGTGCAGGATTCTTTTTGTGGGTACCATCAAAAGTAAATGATTCTTGCCTGGGGATAAGGACGTCCAGGTTGGGCTTCCACTAATCGACACTTGGAGTCGTGAATAAACTGAGTTTGTCTTGAATATAGGGTGATACTATCTCCGATCTTAATTATAAGATTTTGTTTATAAATTAAAAATGATGTCTTATAATTAAAACCGGAGACAGTAATCTTGAAATTCAATGTATTGACTGTTTTGCTTCTTTTTTTAAATGGAACTTTTTACAATATTATATTGTCCATATAATCAAATATAAAATAGCACTAAATAGACATAAATATTCTCAATATCTTTTCTCCATACACAATTGTCTTTGTTGATTGTGATCCAACCATTAACGAGCAATACAAAGAATTGATAGTTTGCATGGCATTTATTATTATCAGTATAATGCTTTAAAAAACAAGATCATAATAATAAATAATATATTTGGTTTAATGTTGTAATTAGCAAATAAAATCAAAATCAAATAGAAGAGATTGTATATGAAAAGAAAGTATCGAGAGGATTTATTTCTTACCTTAGAATGCTAAGAATATCAGGATGCGAGAAACTAAATCTGAAAGCAGTTATCATTCGTCATTGAAACTATGGCCGTTCGTCCCTGTCCTTGCAATGATTTTTAATTCTGAGAAGCTATCTACCTACTAAGGATACTAAGCAATCTGACAATTTGCTGAGCTGAGAAATAAAAGCTTGTGCAGGCAGATGGAAGGGAGAGAAAGAAGGTGCTAATTAACATTTTTTACCATTAAGTGCTAATTAACATGAAGCGTCTGATACCGAATATGTTCATTGAGTACACGTATTTTCCACGCACTTCTCATCCAACCAGAGCTGCCAATTCCTCCTTGGACGGGTATCAATCCCAACTATGCTTCTTTTCTGCTTAGAGACTTAAGAGGACTGAATCTTGAACCAGAAGTCTCGGTAGACTAGTCTTGTTTCTACATTCAAATCTCCCGTTTAGGTTTTTTTTGACAAAAATGGATATTCACTTTTAAGTAATCATATTCCAATTATTACTGTTTACAAAATAGCGATGCGGTGTGAATTGTTAAGCTCTGGTGAACTTCCAGAATCAGAGATCTCCCCAAGTCCCAACACACTATGCATTACTCGCCTTTAATGGAAAAGGCCAGAAAAGTGAGGCCAGATTGTACTAGACGGCGATGCCATACCAACTTTCCATTTCCGAAACGAAGATACAATGATCAATGATGGGTAGAGGGTTGACCCCAACATGAAATTTCACGTTCAGACAAATCCATATGTCGTCCATTCAATCCCTTTTCGCCTCTCATGCACCCACCCCCCGTCTCTTTCTCCCCCTAATCCGATCTCCATCAGCATATTCATCTGTGCTATCATCTTCTGCGTCAATTTTTTTCCTGTCTACTCTTGCATCTGGCAAACCTAATCAGTACACGGAGGAACAATTTACAGTTTTCGTTTTAAGATTGCATTTAACAGAATCATCATTTTCTTCGCCTATTCCTGGAAAATGTTCGGCAAAAACTCTCTATGAACGTTCATATATACATTGGTACTTGCAGATTCTGCAAATACAATAGGAAAGAGAGACACCAAACGATCAACTCCGAGCCCAGCTGCTGGGAAGCAGAGTACAAGCCAAGAAATAAACAGTCCAAAAGCAGACCAAATTAACATTAACATTATAAAAACAAGGGCAGCGTGAAATTTAAGCCAGATAAAGACGAACGAGATGTAATGACCCCCCCCCCCCCAAAAAAAAAAGGATGATACAGAGGCCGTGTTCTGAACAGGATTCGATTTTGAGGCTCTTTTCTACCAAAGAAGTCTGGATCTCTTGGACCCAATAGGAGGGTTGATTTGTGGAACTATGAAATTATCATCCCTCGACATTGATCTGCTGGCCTCAATATTGGTCGCCTCTTTTGTCTCTTGGAACTTGATCTGCCGATCCACTTGTGGGGTAAAGAAAGTAGTGGGTGCCTGAGGAACCCAGATCCCCATACTCTCGGCAGAGAAAGAACCCATATTTCGCTCAATATCAGCATCGAACACAGCCGACATATCATTACTCTGCAGTTTATTAGCCCATTAAAAATGTCAGATCCGACTACAAGCAGTAGAACGTATAAACCTTCAATTTAATGATTAAAAAACTAATTGTTTCTAAGACCCCAACTGAAAACATTGACGATAGGAGATTCATCGCACACCTTACTGAAACCAAACGGAACAGCGGAAGAATCGAGAAAGTCGTCCACCTGCCAGCCAGGGAGAGTCTCTATCAAATACTCAGATATGCTACTTGTGGAAACAACCCCTTCGTTCGTTGACAAGTTTCCCCCAGCCTTGTTAATTGTGGTATGTGTTGATGCTGCCGAAGGTGAAGTCTTGTCCATTGAAGCGGGATGTGAGATGGCAGAAGATGCAGAAATGGAGTTCTTTGCCAACTTCTGCGACTTGGAATTAGATATGGAATCAGAACCGTTTGTCAAAACAGGATTGGAGGTTGATGGTGCATAAAGCGTAGCAGCAGCAGAGAGCTTAATCCCCGTTAGAAGAAACCTATTGTGCTTCCGGGTGTGCTCGTTGGCCGAGTGAATCGGCGTGTCACAATCTTTGCATAGAATTGCTCTGTCCTCTTGACAGAACACGAAAGCTCTTCTCTCCTACAATTTACTCAAAAACCCAAGGATATTTATTTGCATAGCTAAATACTAAATAATTACTTCCAAACACTCAATCTGCAATCGGGACCGATAAATAGAGTTATTTACCAGGCAAATATCGCAGAGAGGGAATTGGTTGGGAGAAGGGCGGTGGAGAGAAAGGCGTTGGTGCTTGGAGGCGAGCTTGTTGGCATGGTGGACCCGGTGGTCGCAGGCATCGCATAGGGCGGCTTCGTCGGCAGTACAGAAGAGGGAAGCCTCGTGGTTATTACAGACGTCGCACAGGATCTTCATCAGCCAAGAGAGGGATGAATCACCGAAACTCGAAGAACAGAGGAAGGAGAGGCGGTAATCAGTAGGCAGTGATTAAGATTCGGAAGAGAAGAGAGGGTGAAATGGCAAAAGGAGAAGCTGACTAAATGGGTTTGCAATGGTTAAATTTAGATGAGCACGGGGGTGGACCACCACGCTTCTACCCCAGAGCTCCGTGAGAATCACTCGTCGCTCCCCGCTGCTGGTCCTCTTTAGTTTAGAGCTATTTCATGGCCCTCTTTTACCGCTTCTGCCGTATGTAAATACTACACGGAAAGGAAAATTAATGCCAAAGACGGTAGAATGTTTAAAGTCGTTAATTGTCATTTAATGCCATCTTTCTGTTGAAATAATTAAAACTTTAAAATTTTAATTAATATTAATTATTTTACATAATTTTATTATTGAATAATACCTATAATTATTAGTCAAACAAATATAAATACACTCTTTTTCTTTTATTAATTGATGAAATTTTTAGCCAAATAATATCAAATTATGTGATAATCTAAATTACTCTTTCTATTGGTGTTAATATTTTTTTCCAGCAGTGTCAATATTAAACTATGTATATTAAACACGTGTTCGCATGGCTTGCTTACCCTTGCATTATCTTTTCTGTTTAGCATAAAAACTGATTGATTAATTTAAATAGGTTAAAAAATCAGTTAAATTAATTATTTGTAATAAATAAGTATTGTTTTTTAAAATATTTTTACTAATCATATCTATTAGATAAAAATATCATTTGATGAAATTTTTAACATATGTAATTACTACAATGATTACTTTAAAAAAATAGATAAAAATGAGAGATAAAATGAATTGAAATTTTACATTTACAATCAAATTAAATATAAAATTAACTCTTCTATTAGTACATATGTGTGTTTAATTAAAGGAGGGCGGAAATAAGAATGAATCCATGTATAATTTTTAATATAATTGAATTATCACCCCTAGATAGCAGTCGGTGTTCTTCGAGATGTTGCAGTAAAAAGTAATGATTAAAGAACCGGACTGGACCAGACGGTCAGACCAGTTGAATCATTAGTCGGACTCGTTAACGGCTCGGTTTGGACCAGAAAACCATTCACATAGTTGAGCTAGATTGGACCAGAGTTGAGCCGTCATTAAACCGGAAACTGGAGTTGGACGGAGAATCGGAACGGTTTTCAAATAACCAGACGGTTTGTTAGCTTGATTGAAAAAATACTAAATTTTTTTAAAATAGAAGAAAAATAAAAAAATTGACCCTCTTAAATATCATAATATTTTTAGACTATTTATAGCCATATAGTATTATTTCATTAAAAATTTCATATATTGTTGTGTTAAAACCGTGAGTCACTAGTCTTTTTGTTTCGATATCTGGTCTATTTTTTAAAATAATATTTTGATTTGAATGAGTTGATAATTTTTAATATCATTAAATATTTTAAACATACATAATTTAAATATATAAGATTTTAGTCCATTTTCAATGATTTCGTTATAATTTTAGATTATTTAAATGCATTTCTAAATTATTTAATAATTTGATATTTTTCATATATATTAATTATATGTATATAATATTGTTTTAAATTAATTATTAAGTCACCGGTCCGACCGAACAGTCTGACCGGTATGACTGATTGAACAATGACCTGTTGATTTTTCTGATTCGACTTCCAGTCTGGCTTTTAAAACATTGGTAAAAAGTAAACATTTACTATTTCCGATATTTAATATAAGAGCTAATTGATTAATTTGAATAAAATAAGAAAATTTATTAAGTTATTTATTTGTAATAAATATGTGTTTTTTCCTAAAATAATTATTGCTAATCAAGTACATTGGTTAGAATTAATATTATTACAATAATTATCTTAGAAAAAATAGATAAATATGATAGACAAAATGGATTGGAATATTATATTTAGAATAAAAATAAAAATCAAACAAGCTTTTATATTAAGGAGGGATGTAGTATTAGCTAAATTATTACACACAAAAATACAAATATCAAATTCAAATTCTCAACCACTTGAAATAACTAGAATTGATATCGGTATTACTTCATGAATTGCTCGATTTATTAATAATAAAGTAGAGATATAATTGTTCCCCGCTTTTGTTTTGAGGACCCATGCACCATTTTTAATCGCTGCAACGCTGTTTTAATTGTGGGCAAGACGAAAGATATTTATTCGTAACCGAAAATATATTACCCACTCACTTTCAAATCCTTTTCAACCAGAAGATTTCTTAAATAAGAATTTTTTTAGCAAAATCTTTCAAAATTTTAAGCTGGTTTATCGTATTTTATCATACTATTACCAGTGAGAAAACATTTGAATAACAAAGTAAACGTTCCCAGAAAAAATGGCAAAGGGAAAGGAGTGGGGAAGCCTTTGATTATGACTGGAAGGCCCGCAAATGGCGAACATTACAGGCCATTAGAGGCAGTCACAAAAGGTTTCCACTTAATATCCCATTAACTTCGATATTTTTGGCACAGCACCGCAGTTCCATCCTACTTTCCACCAGCATCAAATCACTATCGAAGGCGCCCGACTGTTTCCCACCCACACGTTCACGTGTTGCTCTATAGGAGTGTTTGGATAAAAACAAAACTATGGTTTCAGAAGTGCTTTTACGGATTACGAAGTAAATATGTGAAAGAGGTTACCTCGTTTTGCGGAAAAGTGCTTCTGAAACCACGGTTTCAGAGCATCCAAACAGGCCCTATATCATATTTAGCACAATTAAATTCCTGCACATTTTGCTACTTTTCTTCCAAGTTGTGTGCTTCTTCCCATACTAAATACTACATTCTTCCTAAATATAAAATCTAATTAATTAATTTAAATAAATTAAAAAATAAGTTAAGCTAATTATTTGTAATAAATAGGTATTATATTTCTTAAAATATTCTTGCTAATCAAGTGTATTGATTGTAAGTACTATTATTAAAAGAATTACTTTGAAACAAAAATAAACGAATATGAGAGGCAAAATGAATTAGAATCTTATATTTATTATTAAAATAAAAATCAAATAAGGTCTTATATTAAATACCAGAAGTAGTATAAGATTTTGTTTGTGTTTATATTAAAAACAGAAAGTAGTTTTCATATTTATTAAGAAATTCGAAAAACCTTTGGCCGCTCTAATTTGTGATGTGGGTGTGTTAGAGAGAGATTGAACATAAAGATAAAACATTAATTAAGAACAATTTCTAAAGTCTTTTGGTTGTTTTAGTTTTTGGTCACGCCGCATGATCAAAGTGTACTATGCTCCCTACAATTATACAGTGAACAATGAGATGGTGAGGGGAGACGCGCGCCAGAAAGAATGAACTGAAATCAACTGAGATGAAGACGCAATGGGAGTTCAGGTCGGTCTAACTGTACACTCAGGATTTTTATATTTTGAATATGTCAAAAGATTCGTATATATACATTAAAGGAGTATAGAAATCGGGGAGGAAAATTAAAATTGCCCTTAATTAATACTACCTCCAATTCTAATTATAAGATCTTACTTATAGTTTATAAATGAGGTCCTATAATCTCAGCTCAAAAAAAAAAAAGAGGTCCTATAATCAAGATAGTAATATATTTTTTCCCTTCTTTGGGAGGGGCCTTCTCTGGGTGATTATTATATTGATCAGCACACTACAATGCAACTTAAATTATTTAAAACTGATATGAATAGTTCAGATTCAAAAATTTTAATATGTAATTTTTTAATAATAAATTTATTTTCTAAATAAATGTTAATTATATAAGATTATCTTCATTTTAAATTTTGTATGCATTAAAATAAAAAAATACTTAAAATAAATGAAAATTTAAAATCCAATTTGAACAATTCAAAATTGATCTGAACAGTTCAAATTAAAATGACTTCATACTCATCATTGTGACTGGGATGAGCATGAACTATGATCTTTTGGAAGCAGGGAAGTCACGAATAACTGAGGGGTTTCACTGTTTGTTTATTTACCATGCTTTGAGTAATTCAAATGATATTCGTTCCAATGTACTCCAGGGCCCCATTGCCCTGCCCGCAAGCCATGGCATCGCTGCCTCCCATCCACACTTGCTATCAAAAGGGGATTAATTAACTTGTATGGTTCAAGTACTTACTCAGTGACGTAAATATCTATCTCAGTGACATTTCTTTTATTATTTATCCACCGATTTTTCTCTCTTCATGTCAAAAATTCAATAACACGCGTTTGAAGGAGAAAAAACCTTGACCTAGCCAATAAAATCAATATATATACATGAATTAAGATCAAGGAGATGTTTGGATGAATGAAAAAAAACATTTTTAAAAGTATTTTTACACAGATAAATTTTTTTTATATATCTATTTTGTATACCGTAAAATTATTTTTAAAATCATGAACTGTTTTACTCAAACATTCCTTTAATATGCTTTGCACTTTCCAGTGCATAATTTTGAAAATTTCACCCAACCTATTAGTATGGAGACCGTCAAACACTCAATTAGCCACGGAGAAAAGCCCTGGTAGAGCGTACGCTAGGCCAAAAATTATTAGATGTATATAAAAAAAATGTCGAGTACATTATGGCTAATAAAAAAATCCAAATCAAATTAATCAATACCCATTTTACCTTTTGCAATGCACTTATTTCTCTTTTTCTTTTACATTCTCCTTCTTTGTTTTTTTTTTTCCTGGCTAAACCTTCTATAAGTGAATTACAATATGAATGATATGAAATCGCTGGGGCAAATAAAAACTTTTTAGCTGAAAAAATTGTAGAAATTAAAATTTTGGGCATTAGAAATTTAAGATTTAAGTAATAATGAATGAGAAAGCTCTAATTTGACATTGATTATCTAATCTAACCAGATTCTGAATTGTTACTCCTCCCATCAATGAAGTGTCCAATCGATAGTCTATGCTGCGATATACGACATAAAATTGACCAAATTTAGCAATCACATCCCAACATTTTTTCCCCCAAAACATCGTATTCCAAAATTTGAACATCACATAAACGAATTTTTAGAATATAAAATTTGATAACAATAATTAATCGGATCATTATTTTCGCTCATGTCTTTTTATTAGAATTCTTCAATAAAATAAAGGGACGAAAACAAAACATTTTCAATAATAATCAGGAAAAACGTTCAAATACATTTTTATCTCAGAAGTAATGTCAGAGGAATTATGGGCACTATAAAAAATTATAGGGCAGTATGGTACAGAAGCCAATGGTGATGGTTGACAAAGTACTGTTGCAGTGACTTCTTCAGAGCAATCATAGTTTTTTTTGGGAAACACTCTGGAAACAAGAATGTACTTCTAAGAGGTTGGAAACACTTGAGATGAAATGACTAGTGCTTTGCACTTCCTGCCCCAGTTTCACCGAGCTATTTACGTGTTGCTACTTTTGGACAATGTGACCTTAACAATAACATGACATGCGCTTTATTTGTCTTTGGCCAAAAAAAAAAAGACATGCGCTTTATTTGTCTTTGGCCAAAAAAAAAAAGACATGCGCTTTATTTGTCATGATTTATATTTTAACTATATAGAATAAAAGAAAAGTATGTAAGAAAAGTTTTGTTTTGATTTGTGTAAACATATTTATAAATACTTTTAGAGGTAGCTCCAAATAAACCCAAAACGATGACTTCGGCGATGACGGAGGGACCAAAGGATTGATGTGAACAATAAGGAACAAAGTCACCAAATATAGTTGTGGGCGGGAAGGTGTTCATAATTTATGAATGACAGGTGAAGCATCACATAATGTGCTCACCAAATGCATCAATCATGAAGCACGGAACGGAAAATATTCTGGGAGCGACACATGCCCGGCAGGACCCACCCGGGCTGCCTGGCCCATCTTTAAACTGTACTCCCACGTAGTAAACAACAAAATCATTGGACGGATTAGACTAGAGATGCTTGGTCGGATGTGGTAAGGGCAAAACAGTCAAGCCACTTTTCTTTTCATTTTTTGTGGGGGACGAGCGGCTATTTGCCTGGTTAATAATTGACGCGTGCTACAAGGTAATTCTCCCTGTGCAAGCATATCAGCCTAGACATTGGATTCCTTTATTTGAAATTCTTTGGTTGAACAGAATGGAAGGGGGAGAAAAGGAAAGATTTTAATGGAAGAAAGTGAGAAAATTTTATAAGAAAAAGGAAACCGAATGAAAAGGGACCGTCCGCATCACATTCCTCAATAGAAAGAGAGTATAGTGAGGGACAGAGCATCCCCAAAGATGGCCATTCATGTCTGGCTGTGACAATTTGCTTCCGTGGTTCTTTGCAACTATGTCACGTCAACGTCCTTTACTCACAGAAGCAACCAAATGCAGTATTATTCACGCTGAAGCTCCTGTTATCAGTTACAGATTCTGGCTGGCTCACAAGTAGCGATGGACTCAGAATCTATCAATTGGCACTGGGTGCCGACGCACAAGTAGTCTGGTAATATGGTTATATTCCAAGGAGACGAGCAAGATGAGGAAGTTACATGAGTGGATTCGGTAATTATGGATTTATGGTGGTCCTAGCCAGCAACTGAGGACGAGATCCTACATGCTCGCCCATATCTTCTGTTTGGTGGATCGCCAACGCACAGCCCGCTCTTCTCTGGAACCAAGCTTCTTTGTAAAGGGGACCTTACCATTCTCTATGCAGATCTAGTATAATATCAATTGACGCATCTTTAATTCTCGGAACCTTCATCCGAACATTCGCCGTCCTCTTCCATTGGTTTATTTAGGCCATGGATATATTTATAGATAAATCTATAATAAAAAAATCCCACAGTGCAATTCCTTTAAATAAACAAAAAATGTTATTTCTTCATTGTTCTTGGGTGAACAGATGCAAGTGAAGGATATGGCTTTAAAATATACAAAGAACCTCGCATATTGTTGCACTTCCTTTAATGGTCCCCTCCAGTCGGTTGAGATTTTCATCTCCCTTGGTTAATGCGAACTGAAAGTGTTGAACACATTTCTTTTTTTTTCTTTTGAGTAGATGACATTACTTTTAAATTTTAATATACTAGGGCGAATGGTTAAGAACATTATTTATAACTACCTCACTGTACTTCTCTTCCCAAATGAAAGGGCAATAAGCCCCCACGAATGAAGGGAGAACAATGAGAACACCTCCGGGGATAAAAAAACTCGAAAGTTGAATATCCATTTATTGGTCCTGGGAAAAAAGTACGATTTGTTCCGCATGGCTCAAGACAAGTGAATCTGGGTATGCTTCAGAACTGTTTAAACACTGATAATTTAATCAATTAATCCTTAGATAGATTTTATGCCAATATATTTTTTATATACTGGTTTTTAATAGCGCTTACAATGTCAATTCATCAAGGCAGGAAGCCCAAAACAAAAATGATGCGGGGCATAATAGATATTAGATAAACAGCGAATTGAACAGCTTAATGATTTCCTAAGACTTTATGCATACAAAAATATATACATACATATTAGATGGATTATGCCATACATACAAATATATATACATACATACGAGATGGATTATGCCCCAGTGCGGTTGGAAACTACAAGAAGACAAGAGGCTAGCATATATTCAATGATTCATTCAGATATCAGAACATGGCTTTCAAGATGTCAATTTATATTTTTTTTGTGACCTTTCTTTGTCAGTTCAGGGATAGGAGCACGCATTTTCTTAGTCTATAGCTCAATTGAACCATGTTGAGATAAGGACTCAGCATCGGTAAAATGAAAACAGATACGCAGAAAAACTGGGTTAGGCTATATTTGCCACAATACACAAAATTTTGGCCGAGGAATTTGTGGAAGAGTGTGCCTAAACGCACAAGTCCTTTGTTAGAAGCTTTGACATACAACAGCCTAATCACACCTCACCAAGATCAGAAAGTGCAGTTAAAATAAGCACTTTCTATGCTAGTAACACCTCTTGCTATCATTTACAATTTGGCACTACAGAGTTTGGTTATTTTCGGTATTACCATTACTATCCAGGTACTGCTTCACGTAACTTTGATTTGTCTCGAATATGAATGGCACGCCCCTTATCTGCAAAATTAATCATTTATACATAAAACTCAGACTTGTAGAAATTTCTGCAGCAACTAAATGAAGATTGTACGTTCTCTGTTCATATTAGTAATCCAAGTGACGGTAGCTTTTAACAACCCCACACCACACCCGAAAAAAAGAAAAGAAAGAAAGGAAACCAAAAGGCCGGCTAGACATGGTAATATGATAAACCAAGGCTCAATGTGCCAACCAGTAGAGAACATCTTTCTACAGCTTAGAAGTATGAATGGTCTACTTGCATATTTGGTTTACATTGACATGGCGTTAATGGACCATTTATCAGCAAGGGATTCGAAAGAGACAAGTAGCAAACCACAGACAGCAAGAAGTTATATGCATACAAAACTTTTCTAATTCATAATGATCATTGATATTTGGATACAAAAAGCTTCAGGAGCATACCTCGATTAGACAACTGGAACTAAGTTGTTGAGACTGACCAAGATGCACTTCTTTGTTATTTATCAGGATCGAACTCTTGCCAAGGTTTTTAAGAGAGAAAGATCCAACTTCATCCATTTTTATAATTGCCTACAAGATTAGGAAGGTAGAAAATAATTAAAAATGCTGAAGCCATGTTTTTCCTCTTATACTTAAGATCTCCAGTTGTAATTTCCCACGCTTTTTTTTTTTTTGGGGGGGGGGGGGGGACACTGCTGAGGGCTGTGTTCTAGCTTTTTGCCTGTATAACACAAGACGGACATTTTAAGCAGAAAGACCATTCACAGGGCACATGATCCGCAAGAGACAGGATTTCGTCCCTACAATCACTCAATCAGTCTATTTATGATAATCTAACAAAGGCTGAGAGATGCAGTGGAAAATGAAGCTACCTTCTGACATAGGAGCCAATAAAGCAAACATCAAGGATACAATTGGTATATTATAATCTCACATAATATAGCATCTTGCATACCAAGGTACGAAATGCCACAGTATAAGACTACAAGAAGCAATGGTAGATATGGTATCTGTATTCAGCATAACAATAAATGGTATCTTACGTCTCACACTGAAAGATATCAATGTTTGGTTGCCCCCCGCTAATCTATGTCTCTTCCAGGCTTAAATGCATCTTATAAATTTATATTATTTTTACTACTTGCGGAATAGAAATGTAATTTAAAAAGAAAAGTAAAAAAAGATAATTTATATGCAATTTATTGCATCTTATCCGTATACAAAATAAAATAAAATACAACGTATTTTTTCCCAACATATGTTTTATGCTTTAAATGCTTCTAGTAATTTTTAATATAACTTTTTCCGGGGGAAAATCAATGCACTCCACCTAATGATGAAGGAGGACAAAATATTTTAATGAGGCAACACCAACTCTAGACCAGAGGTTCTGTTAGCATTCAACTAGCATATACTGATCCCTTCTACACTATGCTAGCCCATGCGTATTTATAAATTGGTTCTACCGCCAGATTGATAAGAATGCAATGGATTATAAGCCCCTCAAACTTTGATCCCTTTGACTTTCTGGCAAATTAGTAGTGCAATTTCAACGCGGGCACTTAACCCATATTGAATGTAGCAATGGCTAGGACCAAGCATAAACTCAAGCAAATAACCATTAAAGCATTTCCTAAAGCATGTGGAAGCAATTAGTGCATCATAACTAATTTGCCGGCACTGTCATGTGTTATTCAGTGAGATGAAAGTAATACATGTCTTATTACCAGAATATATGAAGGTGCAACAAAATACTTGCTGCCACAGGAAGATACAAATCAAAGCTGGTAAAATACTAACCTGTCGTCGAGATATTTTGTTAGCATTCACTCCTTTGCCTAAGTCAATGTCAACAAGGACGTCTTCTGTTGCCCGGCCAAGTATAACCTGCACAAAAATTTGGCCATTATCAACAGAATTGTCCAATAGTTGGATCTATTTTGCAGAATCAATTTCAGTTAGATGATAATAGCATGTCAGACAGAAAAACATGCAATCTTTTTAAAACAAAAAATTCACCCCCCCTCCCCCGTACACAAATCAACTGCACAAGTTACTCCACGCTCAGTGCGCTGCGCATGTAACAACAGCGCATGTGAACATGGGGCACATTTTTCAGCACATTTGCTTGCAATTGTAGTACGAACCTCATATTATGACCTTATAGAACCTGACTTCCGTCACAATGCACATCATAATTTAAATCACATCACTAGCTAAAGTCAGAAGCCCAATCCAAATAAAATATCCAATCAAGAAAAACAAATCACTGCTACACATTGAAAAGTCAACGAGAAATCATAAGAAGATCATTTCAGGTTGTAACTGTAAGTAGGTCATGCAGAGGGTTCCGGTGATCAAATACCTCAGGTTTCTTTATATAATGCTTCAAATGGCGACCATACAGAATAGCAAGTGCTCCATGCGAACCAATTGTTCTTTGCATATAGGAATCAGCACTCTGTTCCAGCCTTATGATAGCTCGCTTAGCATCCTCATGTTGATATTTCAATACTAAATTGTCGACAAATAAATTCTTAAGATATGATACACAGGCCATAAAAGAAACAACGAAGAAATTATGCACATTCACTTTAAACAGAAGGGTGAATATGACATTCGCATTAAAAAAATCAGGAAATGTGGAATAAAAAGCATAGCGATGGGAAATTGAAGATGTACTCTAGATGTATAATAGTTTAGCATTTTATTAAATTTATTCTATGTTTTAGTTATTGTATTTCATTTAATATAGATTAGGTTATTCTATTAGTATGTATTGAATAGCCCCAGGGTTATTTTGATGTGAGGCTACTGGTTATTTGCTCATTGAAACATTATTGAGATTTCTTGCTGTCAGATAGAACCACTTTTCTAACATAGACCTAAAAGAGGAAACTTAGGAAGATGGAAGAAAAGGGAAAGCAACTTTCTGATGATCAGAGCATTTGACCTTGACACTCTTAACGTTAAGAAGAAAGAAACAAAGAACAAGAGTTGCTTAAGGTTGCTACGGGCCTGATCTAGGAGAGGGTAGTATGGGGGACTGTGATTGTTACTTTTGGTCTATAGTAATGGTTGAAGTCTCCTGGTAGAAGCAGGTCATATTTTGTATTTTGAGTGTGGTGGGGAGAGACTGACCTCTCGAATGTCAGCAGCTTATGTTATGTTCTTGTGAGTCGTTCTGTGTTTTAAGCACTAGTTTCTGTTCTTAGAGATATCTGGATGTAACAGAGGAATCAGGTTTTGACCAGAATCAGTGGAGCCCCTTTGTAAAACTCAGTGAACTAAAGAAGCATCTCTAATAGCCGCATGCTAATCCAGTCAAACACACAAATAGGATCTGCAAAAACTTCGGTATCTATTCCATGAAACACAGATATTTAGTATCTGAAGATTACAGTCATGCAAAAAGGAAGACCAGTCCACAAGAACGCTGGTACAAGCCTATCAAATATTAACTTTATACTACAGAATGCCCAATTAAGACACTGAATTGAGTTGTTGCCCCCCTCCCCCCGTGTTTTGCCATGAGGCAGCATCTCAAAAGCATAGAATGTTATTCGGTAGGTCATTAGTCATATTAGGCTCCATTCTTAAGAAAAACAGGACACCAAACAACAAAGAGCAGGCAACAATGACCATAAAGCTATGTCTGAGAACTACCTTCCTCGATATGATGCAAATCCTGGTCATCAGGATCCAAGTCCATATCAAGTATCTGTGGAAGGAAAACAATAAGTTGGAATTAGCAACAAATGAACAAAAGGTAAAACTAACGGTCAATTGAAATGATGGCACTAAATGTCTTACCATTGCTTCTACGTCAGAATAATAAGGAACATCATCGTCACTCTCTATATATTGCTCTTCTTGATCTAATGTTGAAGGATTTAACACCAGCTCAGACTCAGCAACAACTGACGATCCCATTTCAGCAAGTAGCAGGTGTTGATCTTGAACAGGCACAGCTAAATCATGTTCCATTTTCTTGCCAGAGGCATTAGAGTGAGGATAATTTCTAAAGCTATCAGAAAAATGAGATGTTTTCCCATTTAAAGGATTTGCTAAATTGTTATTTAACTGCATTGTTAAGCCAATATCAGCAGGCTCTTCCTTTGAATTTGCATCTACTAGAGCCTTGATGCTTGTACTTGTTGAATGAAATTCAACTGAGCCACTAGAATCCATCACTGCACTCCTGGACACTGGGAGGGAGGCATGACTATTGGACAACTCACATTTCACCTTAGAACCAGTGCTAGGACGAGGCAAGGGAGGAGATCCCGCTACATGGGAAGATATATGAGATTCTCCATGGGTTTTCAGAGTTCTGCATCCTTCAGTTCGGTGGCTATGTCCAATATCCTCAACCAATGATGAAATTGGTTTATTGGCCTCTCTTGAAGACTGTTTGAAAAAAGAGGGAACAGTTAAAGGGGGCGCATCAAAAGGTAGGAAAACATCCTCATTGGATGGAATTTCTGGGTCCTCAGTGTTGAATGCACAGCAAATGACTCCATTAGTTAATTCAGGAAATCGGGGGTCTTTGGCTAAGGTATAAGATGGCATTTGGACATCTGATTTGGGAGTAGTAGCTTTTAAATCGCTAGAGCTCAACACCATCTTGTTTTCTACCTCCACATGACATGAAATGGATGGATTTTTATTGAGTGAATTCGAAGCCATAGATATCTCTGTTTCAGTTATAGTAGAAATCTGATCTGGGCTGACATCATCTGGCGAATTTAATAGAAGTGAACTCAGACCATCATAATAAGACTTATCAAACCCGTCTTTTCCCTCAACGTCCATCAAATAGAGTTCTTCCTCATTAGTGAAGTTCAAAAGAGAATTGGACAATTCTACCAAATAAGCATCCCCAGAAGCAGTTGAATTTTTAAGGGCATCACAAGGCACATTTGGCTCTTGGATGCCCTCACCTGCTCTCCACATTGGCAATTCAGGAACTGAAGATAACCTTGAGGTACTAAATGATGTTCCGCACTCTAAATCAGGAGAATTGAAGACGTGATTTCCATTAAACTCTGAACACAAATTTCCAGGGTCACTGTTAATATGATCAAATGTTGATAAAGGAAGTGATACCAAACTATCATCTCCCATTAGGCTATTTACAGGCAATTCTTTTGGACCACCAAATTCCTCAACACCTCCATCAAAAGACATACTATCGCCAAGGACTTGAGGTTCATCTTTAAGTATATTTTTTTGCTCAATAGGAAAGTTCTCCTCAATTGGATTTTCAACTTCACTGTAAAAGGCATGGGCAGTTACTCCGCTAGTTGCAAGATTAACATCCATCATATTTTCTGGAAAAGCACAGTGTACATAATCATAATTTGATCCTTGGAATCCAAAATGATTTGAGGCATCACCATCAGGCAAGCAATTTTCAGAAAAAGGCTCAACTCCAATCCTGGCATCATTGTCATGTTCCAGCCTCATAGGATAACTCAAGTTCATGGAATTAATTGCGTCATTCAATATTCTTTTACGCATGGCATAGTAAGAATTACGGACACTTTCAGCTTTTCTCTTAAGAGGAGAAAATTTTCTTTCTTTTGAATGCCCAAACTTACTGAGTTTTGATGGGAGAGACAAAGCAGAAAGCTCAACATTATTCATGCATGCAGATGCTTCTTCAGAAATAATAGGATCATAGAGTAGAGAATACCAACGGTCTTGTATTTCTCTGATGGTAAATCTTCGAGAAAACTGCACTGCACCTTTTGCAAGGGACTCTAAGGAAGCACCAGCCTGCAAACAGGAAACTATAGATTAACCCAAACATGAATCCAGGTTCCTGAATTTGGCAACAGTAGGAAAATGCCCTGCCTCTCACTCTCCCAGATTTAAGAAGAATACAAAATGATGAGTCGGAGAATAAAGAAATCTGTCGAATATCACTAGCAGTTAACTACAAAAGACTTGGGGATCTTCCCCAGCTTGCCTTCAAGTAAGTGCAAGACAATATTATATGAAAAGAAGAAAGCAAGACATAGACTTCTTCAATTCAGATATACTGCCTAGCAAGTAAACACTTAAATATACAGGTTTGCCCAGGCAGTTCTTTAGAAATCAATCTACATAATCTTACGCAGCTTGTGATCATCTGCCGTTATAATTCGGGAAGTGACATGCTAGCAGAACAATGAAAAAAGGAGGTCAGTCATAATGAGTAGTGGTGAACAATAACTCCCCTCAAGGTTATAAATGAGTAGTGCAATAAATAATTAATTGTCCTGATATGAGATCTCAAGAAGACACACTAAAAGCAATATTATAGACATTATGTTCCCTAAGCCACGGTGAGTAAAACATCTATTGTGTGTTTCCGGCTTTTAAACTAAGTATGCCTGTCAAATTGAAAGGTATTTTCTATCCGTGCTCGACATGACTGAAACCGGAACGAGATTCTCGAACTACCAGGAGCACGAGACACGAGAAAGAACGACAGAGGTGAGGAGTTACTGCACAATGTGGAAGATAGAAGGCAGTAATAGCAGGTTCAATTCGAAGCCGACAGAAAGGAGGGAAAGGGAAACTGGAGAATAAATAGCAGTGACAGAGTAACTCTACCTCAACAGCATTTTTCAGCAAAAGATCGTCTTCGGGTGTCCAGGAGGCGACTGTAGCTAGAGCTACCATGCTTGAAACGCGCCCAAGCAGCTTTCGTCTTTGGTGTGTCACTTTGCGGAGAAAGTGCGCGCTAGTTTTTCATGAAGTGATGCTGGGAACCCGGGAGGGTTGAAGGAAGGGTTTTAGGAGGGGAGGGGAAAATAAAATAAAATAAAATTGAAGGATTCGAGACTTCGAGTGACCCCTTGATTCATAAAAATTCCATGTAACCCATCTATGAGTATGTCATCACGTGGTGCCAACTCAGCGAATCCCCAACTAATTTTCCCCCCAATTGTGTAAAAATTTAGATTTTAAATCTTTCTTTTTTTTTATTGGCCAAAAAAATCTTTCTATATATATACATATATACATATTATACAGTATAATTATGATCATAGATAGTGAACATTGTCCTGAGATAACCTTAGAAACATCAAGCCTACTAAAAAAATACCTCTTGCATTTTAAAACCTCTAATCAAGAATTATTATTTGTCGTGTACTTTTTAAATATAGTTAATTGTTATTAAAATGTGTTAAACAATACTAATTTAAAATTTTGAAATTCAATATGTATTTTTTTTTTGGGATTTTGTTATTACTGAATCTTTATCTAAAAGGTTTTTTTTTTAAAGCAGAATATGATTGTTTGGCCAAAAAAAAAAAAGCAAAGATTGCATCATCAATGAACTCCTTGTTTTTCGATTTTTTGGGCCAGAGATTTTGTAGCTGGTTAAGGCCTTCGCATTTTGCAAATAATTTATCAAAGCACGGTTAAAAGTTTCCCTATTTATATCACTGTTAGATGGAGTATATTGACTGACTATGTTGATATTGATAAGAGAACATTCTGACGCATCAATTTTGAGCCAACTCATTAATATAATTATGTATTCATTAATTTTATGTTTGAAAGGTATAGATTGTATTTGGCGAGAAAAAAAATACTGCATCAAAATTAAACTGCACCTTTCTTAGTGACTGAACTGCTCCATTGGAATATATTTGCAGTATGACTGATTCTTTTAGGCCTCAATGCAAGACAATTTGAGAGGCTTTAAAATAATCAAAATAATTAGTAATAATGTTCTAGAAGTCTTACGTCTTGGCTTAGTTAAATTATGATAAAAATAATGTAATGTAATTTATATTTAAATTGATTTTTTGTAAAATAATTAATTTGATGAAAGTTAATATTCCCAAAATCTCTAAATCTTAAAATGACAAATATTAAAAAAGTACTCCCTCAGTTCCTTATTATAGGAGACATTTGATGCTTATGGCATGTTCCTATATATAAGAGACACTTAAAAGTTATCTCTATTTTTTTGTGTTGATTTCCTATTTTACTCATATTTATTGTCTCCAATTCACGCACTCTCTTCCTCCCACTTCTTTTTCTTTCAATAATTTAATTGTTCTCTCTCATGCTCTCTCTCCTTATTAATGAAGGCATTTTTGGAAAAAAATTATATTTTTCACACATTAATTGTTCTTAACTAATTTTAACTGCTTTTTTATCAACGTAATTCGGTTATTCGTCTCTTATAATAAGGAACGGATGGAGTACTACATTCAATCGTTAATATAAGATATCGTTTGACTTTTATTTTGATCATAAATATAAGATCTCAATCCACTTTGTCTCTCATATTTATCTTTTTTTTTCAATGTATTCTTAGTAATAATAGTAGTTCTAACCAACAAACTTAATTAACAAGAATGTTTTTTAAAAAAAACTTATTTATTATAAATAACTAACTTAACTAGTTTTCTTAATCAACTCAAATTAGTCAATTAATTTTTATATTAAAGACTGGAGGTAGTATAAATATTCTTTAACAATGAGAACAATAAATCTTATTTATCCGACTAGCTTGAAAAATTATATAAAAAACTATTAACAATATTACCACCAAATGTTAACTATCGCGATGCTCGTAACGGATTTAAAATAACGAGGGAGGCTTTTTCTTTGTCTCCGCCTGGCGAGAAGCCCAGAAGCCACAAGCACAAATCGTGTTGAGGCTTGGACCCAGTAATCACACGAAGAAAACGATAACCCGCGAAGGAAAATACACTGGGCTTTCAGCCGTAGCACTATACGGGTTACCCACCCATCAAGTCTATAGCCCGTTAACCGAGACCATCGCTTTCCATCCTGGGTCCTTGGCCTTTCGCACGAGATGTTGGCGTACATACCGCACCCCGTTTAGTAATTGGCTATATTTATCTTATAGTATTACCGTGCTAAATATAAAATTTATTTTATAATATAATTTATATTATAAAATGAGTCTTGTGTATCTAGAGTGTTTTGACATTTTTATTATTACTACGTAAGATTATATGCTGACGTGCAATCGAGGTTCAATGTTCAACTTTCCTCCAAATCCATCAGCCTGGGATCATCGGACGCTGCTATTGAAGGAAAACAGAAGACGCTGAAACAAGTTGTTAGATGGACAAGCGGTGAGTGAGGCTGTCGTTTTAAGATATTTTCTAGGATCGATGACGTTTCCAGAATCCTCTCTCCATTGTTCTCCTAGGTTTTTTCTCAGTATTATTTTAATCATAAACTTATCTTTCAAAGGTCAAATGAATATACGTTACGCACCAACATTACCATCGTAATATATTTAATCTTATAACTTGACTTCTGGAGGTTTTTTTGGTTCTGATTTGCTTTATCATCTTAAAATATTATCTCGATTTTTTTAAGAAAAGAAAAGAAAAAATCTCAAGGTAGTTGAATGTTTTTTTCTGCAGCCCTTTTTCTCTGGCCATACATAGCGGACAAATTTTGAGGGCGACACGTCTTGTCCCCTGCGGTTAAGCTTTCTTTAAAAACAATAAGAAAGGCCGGAGTTTATCTGCATCCCGGGTAAAAGTCATATAGAGCCCTACCTAATCCCTTTGATTTTTGATATACCTAATTTTATCTAGATTTGGCCCTCATAAATTTAATCCGAATAGATGTTAACTCAACGATGCTCTGTGATTTGCCCATCAATTCAAGGGAATAATCAACGCCGGGGCCAATTTGTCCTGTTTTTATGGTTATTTGCTATTCTCCACACAATTTGCTCTTCTTTATTATCTATTTATTAAAGAATTAATAATTCTGGGCTGTATCCAATTAGGACTCTGATATTTTAATCCGAAACTGATGGAACTTTCAGTGTCTGCAAACGTTTCCAACAGTCAGGATTCATAAACAAATAAAAATGACCTGCCGAGATGCATAGTTGCTTGATCTGATAAAGGAAAGGCGATTAGATACGAAAACGATATTTCAATTTAAACTCAGGAGGACGAATTAGGTAAAGGCCCTGCTTAAATTAATGCACATGAAATCAAATTAATACGGGAGACTTTGGCCCAGTGGAAGGCTTCAACTTTCAAGAATACCGTTTCCCTGATCCTACGCTGACGCCATTCTGAAGACGATTCCACATGTGGCTGCTCTCTGAAAATTGCAGGTTGCCGCGCATTCATAAAAGTAATATACATATGCACATAAAATAAAGCACAGAAAATAAACAGACAAATTGCATCATGGTAGGTAACACCACAGGAACCTATTCTGCATGATGGAAACATCTCTATATTTAAAAGGTTTCTAATCCTGATGGGAACATTCATCCCATGATCCCAGTTGGTTTGGCACTCAAATCTCCCCCCCCCCCCCATTAATCCTGTTCTGGAAAGACGAAAAATAGAAATAGAAGGATATTATAAGAAAAATCTTTAAAAATAATACTACCTCCTTCAGTACTTTATTCATAATCTATAAAAGAGATCTTATAATTAACATCAGGGTATTAATTTTTCATTTTTTCTAAATGTCTTCTTGCAGCACTCTTTCTTTTTTTTATTTTTCTGTCATTTTTTCTCTCTGTTTTAACAAATCCTAAAAGACCTCGGAACTTTTGTTTTTTTTTTACACGAAGGACCACGATGCTTCGATAAACCAACACTTATATGTTGGTATTTACATATATGGCTGGTTTCTTTTTGGTTCTATTATATATAACGAATTTTGCTGATTTGCGTGAGACATTTTTAAAGTTATTCAAGTCTATCACACCTTACTCAGGCCGTCTAAGCGAATATAGTTTAATTAATCTTTTAGATGTACTCAAGACGATGAAATGAGGCTTAACGGAGTTTCGTTTTTTTAAATAAAAAAAGGAATTGGTATTTCGTAGTGGTTGCAAATTCGTACTTGGCATCCGTACGCCACCTTCGTTTTTTAGTGCGCCTCTACATGTATATGTATGTAAAGATGACTTGTCGGTTTAAAAAGAGAAAAAAAAATTGATATGGTTTTATTAACGTATTAATACTATGTTATAAGCAGTGTTTTGTATGAGGTATGATGTAAATTACATTGGCCATAATTTATAATTTATGAATAATACACATTCTTGTAATTTTTTACACAATTGTTAATGTATATATATGATGCAGGGTTAACAAATTAAATGTAAGTACTACTCGACCCAATCAAAATTAATTTTCTCCACGTGTTTTTTTATCTATAAAATATTAAAGTTTGAACCATGCACCTTCTTATTAGATCCTCAAGACCACAAGCATATATAAATATATATATATCATTAACAGTAATTGCTATTTACTAACAATAAAGTTAAATGTCTGTTGTCGGGGCTTTCTGGTTCAATAACTCTCAAGTGTTTTTTAAGTGTGAAATTATAAGTTTGATCCTCTATGAATATAATGAGCAGAGCTCTTTTTATCGAGCCAGTGATTAAAAAGGAACAGATTAAAGGCTTGATGGGTTAGATGGGGCAGGATATGACGATAATGATAATTAGAGGCTCATAATTACCGTAGTCTGCGTTTGGTTGACGTCTCTTGTGTAATTAACGCTAAAGGTAATTACAACATTTTGTGCAATCCGAACACAAAACCAGCACATCATTCATGGCCAGGTTGCAAATATTCATGGCGTGTTTGAGAAAAATCTGGATTTATGACGGTGTCCTCTCTCTGTTATAGCTTCAGTTTGAGGCTGGACGACGACGGGGTTTCTTCGATCTCCGGCAGGACCCAGATGTGGGCGGATCATATTGCTCCCTGTCTAAGTGCTGCGATGGTTTGATTGATGCGGTTCGTTCATGGTTCAGTGTTGATTTGGTGGACCTGCGTTTCTATTCTGCACCCCTCCGTTTCTGTGCCTCTGTTTGTAACTCCTGGTTCTTTCTACGAATTTCTTATTACACGCGATCTCTTGGTCCACACTTCTCGATCTAGCTTGACATTCGTTGAGAATGGATTGCAATATTGGAACAGTGAGCTGGATGGAGGATTTTTGGAATAGAAAGGAAGCAGGGTTATTCTTTTTAATTTGTACATATATTCACAAAAATATTTTTATTCACGTTTTGAACCCAAGCCAAATAAACTCGCAGTCATTATTACATTAATATAGAGAGAGTCTATAATTGAACCAAACAAACCCTGAATAAGATACAACTGCCATCCATCCATTAAGACATTCAGGCAGTGCAAATTAAAATGGGTGGCTGACTTGTTGACTTATTTTTGTCGGCAGGAAATCGTATGTGTATTAGAACTGTATATATGTATAAAAATAGTTTTTTTCCTCGATAAACTCTCGCCAACTTGGACCTTTGATTATATTGTATCTCCATGCATTGATAACACATGCAATTTTGAATGGTTGGACCATGGGCCTTTATTATATTGTTTGGTTGAGAGAGCCTGAGAGGGGAGGGATCTTGCTTAGTGAGATACTACTCTAAATTTTAATTATAAGACTTCGTTTGCAGACTATAAACAGAGTTTTATAATTCGGATGGAGGTAGTATTTAAAATAAATTATCCTATTTATTATAACTCACGAAACAATATATTCTTTTAGGTGACATGCATATAGATCTTATATTGATAAATTGATTGATCATCTCATTTCACGCTAACATATCTCTGTTTAGACGTACGTAAGCATCGCAGAATAAACGGATCTGACTATGAGGCGTGATAAAATTAACTAAGAATATTAATTTTCTTGTTTCTTGCAACGAAAGGATCGTTTTTACTTTTTAGCGTTATAAAAGCGTCTCTTGTGATATTGTCAATACATAACGTGTTAACCGATCCAGATCGACGTTGCCAACAGGGCTCTGATAAATGACAGTACATGGACTTTATTTTTCCAAGCGAGTAAATCGCATTTACTGATGGAATAATGTATAGGAATATATGTGGATCACAGAGACAACAGAAAAAATGCACCATACATACACACTCACATATACGTATACATGTAATGAACCAGGAAAAGAAAAGAAAAGAAAAGAAAAGAAATAAGGAATAGAGGCGGGGGTGGGGGTCAGTGGGATACTGGCAAGTGAAGAAGCAGACTAGCGATGGGGTCATTATCAGGGAGAAGCATCTTAGAGTTGAGGAGAGTGAAGAGCGTGAGGGCAAAGGACACCAACACCGAAAGAGCCGACAGAATAAGTGTCAACGAGTTAGCGATCATTCCCTTCACTTCATATGCATACTCCGTCGCCGCAATCGCCAGCACCGTCACCGGAAACGAATATGCCCACCATGCCACGTTGAATCTCCTCATTGACCTCCTGAACAGCATTGGCCTGCATATCTGTTCAACACACAAGCCAACGTCTTCTTATTATTCTTTCAATTGTTATGTTATATATTTGACCACAACATTCAGGAGTCTACGACGTTAATTAATAGACTAATAAAAGCAGACTGCTGAATTAATATTTTATCCATTGATGCCAAAACGAAGTGCTCCGAAAGTCCAGAATAATTAAGCGCCTCCCATGTGAAATGCTTCTTAGATGATGACTTATACAGTCATTGAAAATTATTTTATCAGCAGACCACAATTGCTGACTTTCTATGTTTTTACTTCAATTCATTTAAGCAAAATCATCACCAGATAGATTGACTTCGTGCGTGCGTGCGTGCGTGTGTATATATGTGTGGATCTGTATAGTAATTGAAATTTAATGATCTTCACGTGCTCTGCATTCTTTATAAAACCTTTATCACTAGCCACCAATTTCCTTCGATTCAGAACTGGCCTTGATTATATCACTGTATGTGATCTTTGAATAGAATGAATTCCTTGCACAATATATCCCCCGAATCAAACGTTTCCAGGCCCAGCCCCTTGAAAAAACAAAAGCAAGTTTCTTAATAAAGATTATATTGAAAAGATTCCGTCACTTTTTGGAGGGCAAGACTTGCATGCATCCACATAAGTACTGGTTAGAAGTCATTTGTCCTCGAGGGAAACTTCCAGAAGCGGGTCATTTTCTCTGACCATAAAATAACTCAAATTAAACTAAAATGTGTGGGCCTATATATATCGTTATAAATATTATAAACGGAACTGCTTTTTATGTAGTTTATTTTTATATTTTATATGAATATATAGATATTCGATAAAATAATAAAAGAGAGGTGAAATTTAAAACAAAGAAAGAAAGTGTTTGAGCAGTTAATTACCAGGGACGTGAAGAGGAAAAGGGATAGAAAGAAGAGCATCTTGGAAGCAGTATCAAAACCGCCGACAATGGATTCCCAGGCCAAGCTAGCGACGCCCGGAGCAGCAAAGAACAAGAAGAAAACCGGCCTTAACAGCACCGGAAGGCGATCTCCACCGGAAAGGCGCTGATAAAGCGTCACAAAAAGCACCAAATAATGAACCATGCCCAGCGAAAACAAGCAAACCGCACTCTCTCTCCACCCCATGTGAGCCGCAGCTCGTGCCCCAACCAAGTTCCCTATCACCGATAACTGGCTTGTAGGGTTCGCCCCGGTGGACAAAAACCTCTTCCCCTTGGTGAACCACTGACCGTAGATTTTCACGTCAAGCAGCACTACCGGCACCGAGAAGACCCACCAGAGAACCAAATAAGGCAGCGTCTCGGGAGCCAGGCCCGGAGCCGATTGAAGCAATAGAAGCCAAGAGATCCAGGGAGCGAAGAGATAGTTAACGCCTACATGGTGCAAGAACTCTGCCTTTACCATCTTAAAGTAAAACAAGCACCTCAACAGGTAAAGAATAGAGAGTAAGACGAGCACAAAGAGTGAGAAAGACCATAGTACGAGGAAAGCGGTGGGATGGAAAATGTTGCCCACGTGCCCTAGGATGCCGGCCGTGTCATGGTCTGCTGGTTCTGTAAAGGTCTTCCACAGCAGAGCCTGGCCACCAAGGGAGAGGCTTATTCTGAAATAACCTGCATGAAGTTTGGTTAGGATGGAATTTAGGGACAGTATTAACGAGCGCTTTGCGATCATCATCATGAGGGACTCGTCACTATGAGCATCATTATCATCATGGCCGGTGTCGGTAACGACGGTGGGGTTGGTGGTGGATGTGTCTATTACAAGCTCGATCTCACACGAAGCCATTGGTGCTGATCGATGGCTAAGAGGAGACTATATCAGACCCGTATACAAGCGAGGTTATGAGCGCGCTTTTCCCGGTCCATATGCTATGGGTTTTTATAGGGCAAGCTAAGAAGGGGATTGAGGAAAGAGGGCGTATTGAAAAAGCCGAAATGACCAATATTTCAATGAAGAAAGTAAAATAGTCGTTTCTTGGGTGGGATCTGTTTGCTGTACAGGGAGGGGATTACGTACGTTGTTCTCGTCCTTTGTACAATCCACGAATGATTCATGCATTTTTTGTGAATATTTATATTATACATCGTTTTCTGGGTACAGGTTTTCTTCGGCACAGCACACCAGTTAGGCATTTCTCAGGCTAGCTAGCGTTGATCTTCAAAAGCCTTCTTTCTCTTTCTTGCCTATAGTTCAGGAATTATAAAGGGAAATCACAAATAAAGACCCTCCAATATGCAAAATAATAGATAGGTCACCTAAATAAGTGAAATTACTCACAAAGACCGGTCACAAATTGTAATTATGAAATCATGGCCAAATTACCAAAATACCCCTCTTTAATTTTTTTTTTTAAAAGAAAGCCGCTGCCTCACCGGAATCCGGCCACTGGTGCCGGAGCTCCGGCGGCCGCTTCCACCCACTGTCGGCGGCCGGACCCCGACGGCCTTCCTTTGTTTTTTTTTTTTTGCAACTGTTTTTTTTAAAATAGTGGGGGAAGTGAGGTTGGGGGGATTTGATCCCCCAACCTAATGCTTCACAAAATAAGGAATGACCATTGAGCCAACAAATTTTTGTTACCATTATGATGCAAAAAAAATATAAGTTAACTTATTTACTCTTGTTCCAGGTGATAACAACAATACATTTGTAAATAACAAGTTCTAATTGTAAAATAACACGTATGGAATAAAAATTTAACAATATGTTTTTTTATAACAATAAATTTTGTTGCAGATAATAACAACAATACATTTAAAAATAACAAATTCTGATTATAAAATAACAAGTTTGGGATTAAAATTTAATAACACGTCTTTTTTTATAACAACACACTTTGTTTCAAGTGATAATAACAATACATTTGAAAATAACAAGTTTTGATTATAAGATAACAAGTATGGGATTAAAATTTAACGACACATTTTTTTATAACAATTAATTATTTTATACTTTTAAAAAATAAATTATTTATAACTTATAAAAATATTTTTAATATATTTATTTCTCTAAAAAATACTTTTTAATCTGTATATCTATACAACTCATTATAAATCAAACTACTTTTTATAAATTATAAAGTATTTATAATTAGGCATTTTTAATCTATTAATCATAGTATAAATTTTATATTATTTCATTCTTTAAATATTAAAAATAGTTTTTATATTTAAAGAATAAAATAGTATTTTTAATTATAAATTAGAGATAAATAGTATTTTTAATTATAAATTAGAGATAAATTTCATTTATAAATTTAAGCAGTCAAAAAGTATTTTTAATCCACAATAAATTGTACTATTTATAATTTATAAGAAGTAGTTTGATTTATAATAAGCTGTATAGATATATAGATTACAAAAATTTTAAAAAAAAATTAAAAAGTGTGTTGTCATTTTCCCTAAATTTTATTTATAAATTTGAACAATAAAAAAGTATTTTTAATCTATAAAAAATTATACTTCAAGTTCTGATTATAAATTGGAGATAAAAATTATTTTTTTAGCAAATTAAATAGATTACAAGTACTTTTTATAAGTTATAAATAATTTATTTTCCAAAAGTATAAAATAATTAATTGTTATAAAAAAAAGGTGCTGTTAAATTTTAATTCCATACTTGTTATTTTACAATCAAAACTTATTATTTCTAAATGTATTGTTGTTATCACCTGAAACAAAGTGTGTTGTTATAAAAAAAACGTGTTGTTAAATTTTAATCCCAAACTTGTTATCTTATAATCACAACTTGTTATTTTTAAATGTATTTTTATTATCACTTGAAACAAAGTGTGTTGTTATAAAAAAAAACGTGTTGTTAAATTTTAATCCCAAACTTGTTATTTTATAATCAGAACTTGTTATTTTTAAATGTATTGTTGTTATTACCTGCAACAAAATTATTGTTATAAAAAAAAACATATTGTTAAATTTTTATTCTAGACGTGTTATTTTACAATCAGAACTTGTTATTTCCAAATGTATTGTTATTATCACCTGGAACAAGAGTAAATGAGTTAATTTTTTTTTTTTTTGCATCCTAATGCTAACAAAAATTTGTTGGCTCAATGGTCATTCTTTATTTTGGGAAGCATTAGGTTGGGGGATCAAATCCCCCCAACCTCACTTCCCCCACTATTTAAAAAAAAAAAAGCAGTTGCAAAAAAAAACAAAGGAAGGCCGCCGGAAGCGGCCGCCAGAGCTTCGGCGCCGGTTCCGGTGAGGCAGTGGCTTTCTTTTAAAAAAAAAAAATTAAATAGGGGTATTTTGGTAATTTGGCCATGATTTCATAATTACAATTTGAAACCGGGTCCTTATGAGTAATTTCACTTATTTAGGTGACCTATCTGTTATTTTACATATTGGAGAGTCTTTATTTGTGATTTCTCCAATTATAAAAACATTTTTGTTGATGAAACATCGGGAGTTATGTCGAGGATTTTTTTTTTGGTACATAAGAGGGCCAAGCCTAACGGGGAAAAAAACTAAATCAAAGTGGGATTAAATCCCAAGAATTTTTTTTTTTCCCCATGTCGAGGAAATTAGGATTTCAGTTCTATGAGACAGCATGCACCAGCATCTTGCAATGAATACGGAACAACAACTGAAGGCAACGGGACCCTCTTCAGCATCTACTCAAACTAAAAGTGGGCCATGGTTTGGGCCATAGTAAGAACGACCCAAACTTTCTACCTGGGCCTGCGTGTCCTTTGGTGATCTAAGCATGCATCTATTCTCACATTATAAATGTCCTCTGGTGCCAGTAATTAACCGTGTGTTTCTACCATTCAGCTGTTTCTTTAAAATCTTTTGCTTTCTTCGGGTTACTGTGCTTGAACCCTGACTCTTTCTTATTTTGGGGAATTATACGATTCCAACACCACAAAAGAATGCTGCTGAAACATCACATTTACATGATTAACTGTAAATGGATAATACAGGTTGTGGATTATTTATAAATGTGAAACATTAACTAACAGTATTAACAACCTGAGAAATACAGTGTCTATGAGAATTTCGAATTTTGTACATTGATCGCTTGTGTTAAAGTTGTAATAAAGGTTGGTGGAAAAGGATATACGGCCAGTTGTGATATGCATCGGAGACATTTCTGATGATGGGCTGAAAAGAAAAGAGAGGAGGGAATTAGCCATTTATGCTGGGTAAGAGTGGAACCCTTTGAAAACACATTCATCATGATTCGTTTTCCTTTTTAAGGAAAGGACAAGCATAAAACTCGTGTCTACGAGGTTTCGGTACCTGCGACGGTCCCTACTTAGGTATGTATGGCTGTAGAATTTTGTTCGTAGTTAAACAAACAAAGGATTTTTTTTTTTGAAACAAAATAAAGAAAAAGGAGGGGAAGGGGACTTAAAGTTCTTCCTGTCTTTTGATGGAATTGAAAGACGAAAGTATTTTTTCCTTAAAGAAAAAAGGGAAATGGGCCAAATTAATTGGTGAATAAGGAATTGTTGGCTGGCACGAGACATGATGACAGGTAGACTGCAGGGTGCAAGTTGTGGAGTTAAAAGAGAGACCTATAAGATAAACATAAAACTATGTCTGCACCTAAATCTGAGCAGCCATCATGATTTGAGTACACTTTCACATTTGGTTGGGTCATTTCAGCGTGTTGTTCATTTTCACACTCTATTACTCTCACCACCATTCCTTATCTTATCATGAGGTTCACTTAATTAACTATATTACAAGATTTTAAAAATTAGTTAAAATTAGTTAAAAATAATAAATATAACAATGTACTTTTTTTCTCTCAAAATATCCTTATTTGTAAGTGGATAGGTGTGAATGAGGAAAAAAATAGAAGAGAAAGCATGAAAAAAATGATAACGAGAGAGAGGATTAATTAAAGATAAAGTGAATAAAAATATATTGATTGTTTAGATAAACCCAAAGAGATCTTATAAAAAGAACAAACTAATTAAAAAAATTTGATCTTATAGCAATGGACGAAGTATGCTCCAATCTTTTTCTTTTTCTTTCTTCTTCTCTCTTTTTTTGGGGGGGGGGGGGGGTTCTTTGGTTGTCCTGGGGTACAAACTATAAAGACAGAAGCAGAAATGAGCAGACGGGATAAAGAGGAGTGAAAATATAATGATAAAATAATAACCAGAGGGGAAAATGAAAAGGGCTAAGGAAAAAAAAAAAAAAAAGGATAAAATGAGATATGATCAGAAGCTAAAAGTTGAAATTAAACTGTTGGAATACTAAAAAGGAAATGGAATGAGAGAGGAGGGAGCGGAAAAGAGCGGGAGAGGGATTAGGGAAGAGGGAAGAAAGAAGCGCAGGGCTCGAGAGAGGAAAGCAGAGAGGGGATGGGGAGGCCGACCAAATTAAGCATCACTCATTCAGCAACCTTAATAATTGCATTCACCGTTCGCTCCCTCACAGTGTGCATGAAATATGTATATGCCTTGGACCATACACAAAACAACCGACGCTTCTCGAGAGACAGCTGCAAATATGGGGACGAAATTTAGGGGAAAAAGCCTCCACCGGCCCAAAAAAGTAGAAACGTGGTCTGAAGTCCCACTTATTAAGGACGGACGCCTTTTCTCTCTCAGAGATGGGGGGAAGGGGTTGAGGGGCAAAAAACAAAACATAAATGAAATATAGGGACATGCATTGTGAACGTAAATAAACGTTCTCAGGGGAGCTGTTTCCGTGGCTCCCAGAATACTTGTAGCCAAATCAATTTAATAGTCATATTAAATAAAAATAAACAGAATAAACAACAGAGAAGCTCCATATATGTGAAGTTACAAATATATTGGCCCTCTAGTTACACAACTGGTGTAATTAGATTTGTAGGTCTCAAGCTACCAAAAACTTGTGGCACCAAGGAGGAGCACCAACTCGAGGGCCCGTGGTACGTAGAGCCGCATCAAACACCACCAGAGACCAGAGTGAGCGTAGTCCTGGAAAAGCACTGGACAATGATGGCTCATTAAAATAAGCTGTAAAATTGGGCCAGCCCAAACCGACCATGGAATTGGTCTAAATTTCAATCATGATCTATGACCCGATTGGGGGAGAAGGCAGGGAAGCCGCTGCTCGAAATTTGAAAAATTAAAAAGGCAAGGTCAAGTCTTATCAATTCTCATGCCACTCCCATAATGAACCATGCATCACACACCAATTTCGAGACTCAAGTGCACCTAGCATTATAATTCAATTCCCAACTAAACCCTAACGGCCAATTAGCGATGAGTAGTATCATGCATTTTTTCACCGCGTTCATGATTCGATTTAATTGAGACGTGCTCATTAAATTCATCGAGTCCAACCAAACCTCTTGTTTGCTTTCGGGATACATTTGACTGGGAAAAGTCCAAAAAAGGCCAGTTTGACCAGTCTCGAGGACTCAGACGTATGAGGAGGGGAGGCACCGATCACAACGATTGCGCGCATCATTATTTCCATTTCGGCCATCCACTAATTGGCCCAATCATACAGATAATACGAATTGGTGAGTGTTGGATTATTCGAGAATTCCGATATGAAGAAGTCAATGATGGTTGAAGGAAAAGATAAGGTTAATCAGTAGCATGTTGGAGAGTCCAACGGCAGGGGGAGGTAGATTTGTTTTCTCGGGCCCCTAATTACGAATTAAGAATCCAATTAAAATAATGAGCAATGAATGGGGATTATTGGGGAGAAAGAAGACTGCGAAGGACAGCGTACGGGCAGCAAGCAGCGCGGCAGCTGAGGTGGCGTCCTTACCTGTTTTGTATAATAGAGAGCCAATTATTAGTGGGGGTTTTGAATTAGATAGGCTCGGGGCGGGCTCACGTGACGTACTTATTGGTTCACTCTTTAATTTGATGGATTCCTTAACACAACAATCCCGCTCTAATACTACTACTACTTCTGGTACTCGTTTTCTGTGACGTGCCTCTCGCTTTCTACCTTGACAGCTAGCTCGGAGGTGTTGATTTGCTCCTTATTATAAATTGACCATTTCCCAACTTCTCTTCCACGTTATACTTCTCTGCCTCCTATTGTTACTGTTCGTTGCCACCCTTTACTTCTAGAAATTCGGCGTCCACCACCTCATAATCAGAAACAACAACTCTGTCTCTTTGGTTACCTACACTGTGCCAACACACTGCCTTCAATGTAATGGGTCCGGATCCGGTCAATATTTTTCCCAATGTGACAATATTATAATTAGTTTCAAGTGGAAAGTCATGCATGCATGTTCTCCTCTTCTTCGTTTTGTTTTAGCTACTGTTTGTGCTTAATATATATTTTTACTGTTATGTCCCGACGCGGGGTTAATTAGGACCTATATGGGTATTGACAGCCAGGAGCTTTTTCTACAAATTCATCACTGTCAGGACATCTTGTGTGCATCCTTGACTGTTGCGTTTATTATTCATGCATGTAAACACAATGTCATGAATATGGACACATTATCCTTGATGCGATAAAAATAAATTATACCACACCTTCATTTTTTAGACACCTCAATTAATCTATCTGATATATATATATATACTCCTCCGGTCCTTATTATAAGACCCAATTTGACTTTTTATTTGGTCCTAATTATAAGACCCAATCCATTTTCTCTTTTATATTTATGCATTTTTTTTCAAGATAATCCTTCTAATAATGATAGTTTTAGCCAATATACTTAATTAGTAAGGATATTTTAGGAATAACAACACTTATTTATTATAAATAACCAACTTAACTTACTTCCTTAATCTCCTCAAATAAGTCAATTGGGTCTTATAATTAGGACCGGAGGAGTATATATTATGCTCGTGCACCAACCCCGATATCACCGTGTATCTATACATAGATGTTGAAATGCTAGAAGTTTTCCATCAACAAAACTTATAGTATATGCAGAAACTGAATGAACTCCCACAAGTTATCAAACCCCCCAGTACTTATTTGATTTTATTTATAAGTTACTTTTAACATGTTTCACACGAATCAATAAAAATATTAACTTTTATTAATTCTCATTTAAAATGTAATAACTTTTCAATTTTATCCTTATTTAATACTCTCTGTGTCTCTTATTATAAGATCTACTTAACTATATTACACGGTTTAAGAAAACTGTTAAAATTAGTTAAAAATAATAAATATGTTAAAAATATACTTTTTTTTAAATCAAATATGCTCTTATTTATAAATAGATAGGTGTGAGTGAGGGAAAAAAGAGAGAGAGAGAGTGTGTGTGTGTATGGGAAAAAGATAATGAAAGAGAGTATATTAATTAAGGGTAAGAATGTATTATTGTCTAGACAAACCTGTTTAGACAAATCCAAAGAGAATCTTATAAATAGGGACAAACCAATTCAAAAAAATAGATCTTATAATAAGAATGGAGGAGTATATAATACATCACATGAGAATAAAGTTGACACAATAATATGAAGAATAAAATTTTACATCCACGTGAAAATTTTCTCTCACCCTATAAACAAGACAAACAATTTTCTTCTCTATTCGCCTTATAAATGGGACTAAGTGAGTAAAAAGTTTTAGGAGTAAGGTGCATCTAACACCCCGAAGTATTTTATGGTGTATCTAGCTCTAAAGTATTTTATGGCGCATCCAATCCTGAAGTATTTTTTAGGTGCGTCCAGTATCCTGAATTTATTTTTTTGTCTTGATGCTGGATGCACCAAAAGTTATTTATGAGTGCTGAACACGGATGAAAATATACTTTGAGGTACTGGATATACTAAATAATATATTGTAGTGCTGGACGTGCCTAAAAAAATTATTTCACGATACTGGATGCACTCAAAATAATATTTTAGGGTGCTAGATGCATTTTAACTCAAAGTTTTAATAGACGTAGTATATATGTTGTAGCGAAATTTTGTGAAGACAAATAGTTTGATTTAATTAACATATCGCAATGGGCGGTCAACTAATACTCGGAAATATCATTTGTAAGATTATGCCATGATTCATTTTAAAAAAGTGCAGAAACAGAGAGAGTAGCCAAACTGTATAATTTCATCATGTGTTGAGTAACATGCGAATTACAGGTGATTCATGGGGCTGGAAACGCTGATCACCCACACAATTATTTCAGATGTGCAACTTTTCCATGGTTAATATGAATGAGGAGAAATCATGAAGGAAGCAACTACGAGGTCTAACGATTTATGGGAACCGTTCAATATGGTAATCATCGTGATTGAGAGTAATAATCACACATTTGTGGAGGGGTTTATGATGCATGTGGCATAATGTAGGGTCTAAAATTGAAGCGATTTATAATAATATGCTTCGGGCACGGGTAGTAGAATCTTTGAAAACCACAGAAAACACTGACATCGATAATCTCGTCGGCTACATCCTCTGAAAACGCCAAGCTGCATTAGAAAAAAAGAACCAAAGTCTTATTCCACACACACTCACACGACGCTCCAACAAACCCCGAATCCATGTAGCCCTTTTAATTAAGTCAACAGATGCTTAATATGAAGTAAACGAATGAGGGTCCGTGTATCGCGTAGGCGACTATTTCCTGCCTTGTGTGAAGTGAAAGAAAGCCGAATTTGACGTATAGGTGTTGACCTGTGGGAGAAACGGTTTTAAATTCTAAATCGTTAAAGGAAAAATGGAGTAATATATTATACTACAGAAAGTGCTTATGCGAAATTGCGAGTCAATCATATAATGATTACTGGAAGAATTTTGAGTGGAATACGAGGCATGAGAGGAGGAAATAGGAATAAAGAAAAGAAAACCCAAGAATACAGGACGCTGGGTCAGGCAAAAATACACTAGGCCCGAGATTAACCCCATTTAGTTGCACAAGAAATTTGGTTTTTCCGAGTTATAGTAAAAACAGGGAGGCAACGAGGGGCAAGTAGAATGACCTCAGTGATAATAGCTATGAGGCGTGGGGGCCGTCCGATCAGGGGGAGTCATGATGAAAAGCGAGATTTGAGCGGCGATGGAGACGCCCGTGAGAAAATGCGCGACGCAGGTGCATGTGAGTGACGCATATTTGGTTTTTCCACTCTGGGGAGATTGCTTCATAGACGTTAAAAATCGAAAGAATACAATCTTAATTATAGGGACGGTCAGAGAAAGTACTAGCGGGTTTTCCGGTGTAAGGACGAATAAGGAAATGCCTTAGTCCCGACACGTGGAACCATGGCGTCCGTCGGATGGTCAAAACACGACTGGGATTCACGCGTCCCGGCTGAGATTCAATTGAACTGAGAGACAACTGTAGTGAAGTGGCCTGTGATAGATTTTCATGTTCCCCCACGCACACTCCCTCCCTCCCTCCATTCTCTCTCCTTCTCTCTCTCTCACACACTCCATTGATAACACAACATTCCGTCTAAGTCCGAGACAATACTCTCCACCCCCCCACAGCAACGAGACCCCAGTATATATGAGTGATTACACAGAGAGACTCTGGGCGAGAGCGAGAGAGAGATGGAGAGAGAGGAGGATGGGTTGGTGACCATAAATGAGAGTTTGTAAATTGTATAGTAGAGTGGATGGGTGCAGTTACCATGGCGGCGTAGCAGAGGCTCTAATTCCGTGCTATAATTGCTTCCAACAGCGAACAGAATTGGGCAACACCAACGCTACCTTCCCCTCCCTATTCTCCGTCCTTTTTATCCTTAATTTTCTTTAATTCTGTCTTTTGAACTGCAGTTTCTCTTCAAAAGCTGCAAAAATCCCAACTACGACCAGAGCCAGAAGATCATACTTGAGACTTGGGACGCCCCCACCACAACCCCTAAACAGTCAGAAGCGGCGAGGGGAAAAAAACACAAAACTGCAAAAAGCATCCGGGTCAAATATTAACCAACCAACCACAGATCAAACCCATTCCCTCCCTTCCAACCCAAATATTACAGCTGTACTGATCTTTGAAAATTATTTTAAGATTCGGGGAGACTTCTCTGCTATGGATTGTATGCCTCAATTGGACACTGTTTCAGCTTGTGGGTGCAACAAATGGCTGGGTTCTTCTCTCTAGGCCCACAGAACAGACAAGAAGAAGAAAAACCAGATAACAACAACAGTAGCAGCTTATTCTTGTTCAGGAACGAGGAGATCTACAGCAAAGGATTGGAGATATGGCCACAGTCTTATCAGCCGCATCACAACTTGAACAACTACTACTCTTTTGGGGCGGGTCCTAGTCGCAGAAGCTCCTCCAACGACGACGTCGTCTCTGACGACTCTACGAGGTTCGGATTCACGGTGATGAGGTCTGGAGGCCTAGGAGGTGGCATGAACTGTCAGGATTGTGGGAACCAGGCTAAGAAGGACTGTGCACATCTCAGATGCAGGACTTGCTGTAAGAGCCGAGGGTTTCAGTGCCAGACCCACGTCAAGAGCACTTGGGTTCCCGCAGCTAAACGCCGTGAACGACAGCAACAACTCGCTGCGTTGCAGCAACAGCAGCAGCAGGACCAACAATTTAGGGGAGATTATTCGAAACGACACAGAGATGGTCAAGCTTCAGGCTCTCTTGCCTGCGCTCCGTTAATGCCAATTGCCACAACAGGTGAAAATTTGTCGGGCACAATACTTAGAGAAATAGAGGGGGCAAAACATAACTATTAGAAAGAAAATATTGGGTGCGGAATTGTGGTTTGAATTCAAGTCTTGAGGAATGATATAGCTAATGAAAAATGCCCCGAGATCTTGAAAAACAAGCCTTCTATCACTCTACACCTAACTGATGCCATATGATTTCACTGGGAAAACCGTAGATTCCGCTCCATAGTCGCGGTCTTCGCTTGCTTTTTCTTTCTCTTTCCTATTTTCCTTTCCACCACTGTTTTCAAGTAAAATTGACGAAAATTCCTTCAAATCCTTTAGACTTTCAACATGTTTCGTTGCCACTCTCTTTAAGAGACAAACCACACGCCTCTCAAATAAGTGAAAACGGGAGAGGTAACGATATCTAGTTTCTTTTGCTTAACCATGATTCCGTTGCGTTGATTTGTGTTGTCTAGGGTTGGAGCTGGGGCAATTCCCACCAGAGGTGAACTCTCCGGCTGTGTTTCGGTGTGTGAGAGTAAGCGCGATGGACAGTCCAGAGGACCAGTACGCGTATCAAACGGCTGTGAACATCGGTGGTCACCTTTTCAAGGGAATTCTGTATGACCAAGGCCCTGAAGGTGCTTACACCACAGGTGGCGAGAGCTCCTCCGGCGGAGCTGAAGCTCAACAATTAAATCTCATAACCGCGTCGACCACCACGAACACGGCTATTACCAGCGCCAACCCATTTGATTCATCTTCACTATACCCGGCTCCGCTCAGTGCCTTCATGGCTGGTACGCAATTCTTCCCACCTCCAAGGTCCTAAACACGTGACTCTCCTATCTCCGGGAACTCATAATGAAGTGTTGCATTTATTAATGAAACAAGTCCTCTCTCTTGCCATCAACACTCGGAACTATTATTGACTGTGGTGGTCATGGAGTATACTCATATCTTTAACTAGAAGGAAGAGTTAGGGATTTTAAAAATGATTGAGGACGATTCAGAATGCATGAAATGGGGGAAGTTTTGTCTTCGTCCGAATGTCGCAATTCAGGATTTCAGTTATTGTTATTTTGATATTATCGATGGCTTACTTTTCAATTCTAGAGTATTTGGATTCGTCATGGATTTTCTTGGCAGCATTTGGGTATGTGTGCATTATGTTATGCAGCTGATTTGATTTCTTCATGGGTAGTATTTTTCTTTTTCTGGGTTTTTATCAAGTAAGCTTTCTGGTTGGTGCTGAACTCGAAGCCGCTTTTCCCGTTTATCCGTTTACTTGCCGGATCGATATAGGTTTCGTGTTTGGCTAAGCTAGCAATAGAATTTTAATCGAAACCCTATATATTTATATATCCTCTTTTTGCACGATTTATGGGGAGAAAGGTCACGGCATTGCCCATCTTTACTTTGTCTCCCATGCATTGGCAAATATTAAATGGCAAAGTGGGCGTCCCAGTCCAGTACCATAAGTGAAACTGCTGGACGCAGATGCTCAGTTTCGATACCCTTTTTCTCCTTTGAAATCTGTATAATTATGTTACGTATAAATGGGGAATTACAACAAGCATTTACACCAACCACTTGTCTGAGAAACAATAAAATTTAGCCACTTGAATAGACATCCATGGATGTGACTCCCATATGCTAGAGTTGGAAAACGGGTTCTTTAGCCGATAATGTTTAATGCTTCTGAAAGTATGTGCATGTGATGCATGTATATATGCATACAAGCGTCGGCTGCCACCAATGATATAGGGGAGGGTACAATATATGATATGATAGGGTTAATGATATTTTCATAGTTTGCTGGTTTTGGTTCACAAGGAAGAATCAGAAACTTTACGAAAAAAATTCCCAGTTTTGTATAATTACTGGCCCATAACATGTGCTGCACTACCTCCAGCTGATTGAGACGTAGCAGTCTCTTTCGCTTTCATCTATATTTTTGTTCCTTTGTATTTATAACTCTTCTAATTTCTATACTTGTTTCTTCCCCTTCTGATTCCTTTGTCATCCCTTGATATTCTCAGCAAGTTTTCATGGTTATGTATAGCATTAATATCACAGAAAGATGCACTGGCCCTCAATTTTGGGATCCCAGGTCCATATCTTACTGTTCAGACAAATCCTTATTTCATTGATCAGATTTCTTGATAAACCATTAAGATCTTAAGTTTGAGGACTAGAAGTAGAGCGGATTATCTGGGAGGACAAGCCAAGGGAATCAATAAAGTGTTTTGTCCACAGGAAACTGTTTGTAGTTCAAGAATGCATCTGCTGGTCACATCCATAGAAAGATCGGAAAGAGAATAAAAGAAGAAAAAGTTAGTTAATTATGTGTAACTATGCTTCAATTATTTTCGACATGTAGTGCGACAGCATTTCTTTAATCTTTAATGGTCAGGATCATCGCAAAATCACTCAAGCATAGTAACTAGTCTCACAAAGGCAGTGCACACATGCACAGATACAGTGAGGTGAAAAGAAGTTGCATTAATTATTTACCCAAAAAGTAAGAATGGCATTCCGGGATGAAAGACGCAGCCGGCGAAAAAAACCAAAAGATCTGGAATATAGTCCATTATTGTCTATATTTGGGTTCTTGTTTGCTATTTTTTCTTTTTAATTTCTTTTGATTTTATTTATTCATGAAGGAAAAAAAAAAAAAACAAAAGAAGAGGCGTTTGGGCTTTTCATTGTTGGGATGACAACGCCACTATCATAGAGGGGATAGAGAATATTCTGTCGTGCGTGTTTAACCTATACACGAAGTGTATACATGGTGTGCATACGTACGTTGCGTACGCATTTATAATTTTCTGTATAACCTTCGAATGAAAAACGGAGAGGTCTGAAATAATTGGTACTGAAATATACATAGAATGTAACAAGAACGTTGCCCAAGGAGCTTTGAGTGAAAATTGCACGTTATTTATTCAGAAGCCTTCTGCAGATTAAAGACGCACTCGTGCTACAAGAAGGTTTTACCTAATAAAATGTTACTAACACAGAGCTTCACGGGTCGGATACGTAATCTGGGAAAGAAAACTTCCAAAGTCCGCACCCAAAAAAAAAAAGAAAAGAAAAGACACTTGTTATAATTTTGGCGCTCCAAGGTGGCGGACGAAGAGAACGAATTTAGGTATGATTATCTTTGTATAAGCGATTTTAACTGTAATGGGGAGCACGGGTTTCCTCGAAGTAAGCAATACCTTGAGAGGTAGGGAATTGGACCAAACTCGAAGATGGCTCAATTTGACATAGGTTTAAGATTTGTCTTTTCCTACACGTTCCAGCGAGAGAATCATGCATGTTTTCAAACCATTTTATGTAGGCTTTAGGTAAAAAGATTGTTCGATACGGCTATGCTGTCTTCGAGTTGGGGTCAACTAAGCTAACTAATTAATATTTGGTCCCTATACTCAGCCCATAGGCAGCATTAAATTGACTTCTTTCATACCAAGTTAAATGCACTTAAGAATCTGGACATTTTGACATTTCATGAATGACAGCGAGCAAATGTTTATCTGGATATGAATAAACAAACAGCCAACTCCACAGAATTTAGCCAGAAAGAACGAATGGAAACAAAAACTGTTAAACTTTTGACCACAACAGTAATAGGTTGAATGGGCGGTCTTTTCATGTAAAAATTATTGTGATATCATTTCATGTTTAGCCATTAAAAAAAAAAATTGTACGCGAACTCGAGTCATTAACAACAGCAAGTTAAAGAAAATGTACGTACGGGTTAAAAAGTAATACTATTTTAGTGATTGGCTATAAAAACACTTCATGTATACTAAACCTATTTAAACGATACCTGTCTGCATATATTTAATTTGTAGCCTGTATATATGATTTATTAGTGATTGGAGAAATAGTGCATGTGCTTTCACGGACTCATTTCATGCTGATCACATCCACCGGACAAGGTTTACAAGGGTCGGTTCATCCTTGAGAATGTGTTGTTTTTGAATTGGTAAATCACAGTCACGTGATACCATCTGGAAAAAGAAAGAAATTGACACTTTTGCAGAATGAAGATCAAGTAGGGTTTGTTTTGATATGATGGTCACGGCCTTAGGGTTCGTGACTTTGTGCCATGAGAAATAAAGCAGCATGCCCCGTGTGTTTGTGTAGCTTATATATAGGCGATGGGCCTCTGCTCAGCTAATTAAACGCTGTTCCCAACTTAAATATATTAGCTATGCTCACAACAAAGCTGCTCCTGCCTCCCTAGCTAGCACTGAGCTCGCCATTCTCAATGTTTCAGAAGCTTTGTCCGATGGAAGATGAGCAGTACAGTTTATAACTTGTGAATAATATGGTCTATTGAAATTTATATATATCTAATTGATGACAATAATTTAAAATTAATGACCACTCAGTGAATTAAAATCCTTTCGAAGCCTTCAGTCATGAAGATGCATAGCATGCTGCATACGATTAAGCTACAAGAAAGTAACCCGATATAATGGGGATCTGACTATTCATATTTGAAAAATAAAAACGTGTTTTGTCAAAAATGTAAGAACTTCTAATAATGGCTATTTAATTATTGAAAACAAACTGACAGTGTCAAGGGAGTCTGCAGCAATTCCAAAAGCTGAAGCTGTAAGCAATACGTTGTTTGCATATATGCGCCCTGAGAATTCCAGAGTCAGGTTGGGGTTCCCCTTTTTGTGAGGCTACGGACTTATGGCTGTAAAATTAAAATTTAGGCATGCCAATTTCCAGGGAAGGAAAGATATTGAATAATTTATTTCTTTTTGCAAAATAAACAAGCAGAAATGGAAAAAGTATGGGTTAGAAAAAGTCATATGTCCACAAAAATGATGTTTTAGGACACGAGTTCAAGGAATAATGGATTATTATCAAAATAGCAACTTATGATATGCCAGTTCTTTTGGGAGGAAAAAGTTTATTATTTATGGCCCGGATGGAATGCACTAAAACGGGCAGCAAATTTAGGGGTGTGACATAAAGCCGAGCTATGGGAATTTTTATGCACGCCGATTTGAGCTGTGTGGCAATAATAATAACGTATTGTACAGTGTGGCATTAGTAGAGCCAGGCCCAGACTGGGACATTTCCTGATTTTCATTGACTCCCGGACAGTATGGATAAGACGTTTAACTATGTTCATCCAAACAATCCGGGAACTTACCCGCTTGCGTTCGTACTGAAACCTCGAGGCCCCGTTTGGTTCGCTGGAAATGAGTCCGAAAAAAAGAAATAAAAATAAAACCAGCAAAATCATTTTCTGAGACAATCCTACGCAGAAGATTTTTTTTTCCCTTGAAATTTTTTCTCGGCCCCACTCTGCCCTTGAAGACTGACCCGTCTCCCGCGGTCCCATATCGTCACCCTCACCCCATCTTCCGCCTGTCTTCGCCGGTGTCCACTGTCCACCATCCGTCATCGCACCTCCGCCGCACGTTACGCCATCCCCCGACCGCAGTGGAGCTCCGCCGTCGCACCATCATCCAGTATGAGAACTCACTTCCACTGTCCTTCCTCCTCCTTCGAACGTCGCGGAGATACGAACGGAAACACTCCGGATCTGTTCAAAATCAAGCAGGACTTCAACGACGAATGTCTTTCCGGCAAAGGTCTTTACTGACTTCAACTTCGTCCAGTGAATGTTCGTCGTCTTCTTGAGCCTGCGTTGCTTCTCCTTTGCTCTATCTCTTCTCCTTTGCAAACCCAGATCTGAGAAGGCCCCCAACTTCGCCTTCATCCCCTCTCGCTTCCTCTTTGGCTTGCTCAGCCGTTCTTCCCCCGACAACGAAACCTTTCCCATCGTTCTCTCCGTCGCTGTAGAAGGAGAGGAGAGTCGGCGAGTGAGAGGGAGAGTTGCGGCCATTTTGCGATGCTTGCCATATGTGCGCTGCTTGCTTGGTGTTCTCCTGAGACAATGGCAGACAGATCTGTGATTTTCATTCCCATGGCTGCGATGATGTGTTGTTCGACGTGTTTAGGATTTTTCATGGACGGATCTGTTTCTTCACTGAGTTGATATTTTAGGACCATTTTGGTCATTTTATATTTTACAATCAATTTAATTTAATTAATGTAAGAAAATTCTACCCATTTTTTCAGTCCCATTTTCATCAAAATAATGAAATATTCTCGGCCGACCAAACGGGGCATGAGTCCAGTATTGTGTAATTTCTATGCCTTGGGGGTGAATCCCCTTTGTTTGCGAAATTTTGGATGCAGCTTAATTACCGCATTTAGTCCCACCTACACTGCTCTTGGGCCAGACCTTATTTTCACTTTTACGGACATGGTAGGTCCAGATTCCTGATCCGAACTCTGCTCTCCCTCAGCGGCCGCTAAACAACGACCCGCGGGTCCCATGGTTGGCCCGTTTATCCCCCTCTCACCTTCGGAATGTTCTTTTACTTCCCATGAGAAAGTTTATTACTGGCATTAATCAGATCCCGACCAAAAACCACGTTTATGACACGTAGGACAGATCTATTCTCGCAGCACATGGACAGCCAGGTTGGGCTTCATGCCAATCCCATGCTTGGACCAATGTGCAGTTCAAATAAGTTTGGTATCGAATGTTTGGATTGGGCTTTGGCCCAACCTAAACTATTGTTTTTAAGGAAAATGAAATTATTCATTAACAAAACATATAATTAATCTAATTTAAAACGCTGTTTTTATTAAACTAATACGAGTATTAGGATAAAAATTAATATTTTTTAAAATTATATTATTTGAAATTTCTCCTCTATTTTTACATAATATTAATCTTTAAAATTTTTTTTTATAATTTTGAAAGCGGTAAAAAATTAAAATCATAAAAGATATTCATGATGATCGTGAAAAATAATGTTACACAAAAATATGAAGAAACTAGTGAATGATATCAAATAATTATCCCTTTCAATTTTTAAAATATGTAAAGCGACGCCCATGCACCGACGGCGACACTACTAAATAGGGTCAATAGTCCAAATGAGGGTACTGTTAAATAATTTAATACTGATGCAGCTTTTACAGAATAAAAGTAAGGGTGGGTAGAGTTAAGTATTTATCTTTGAAATTTTTTTTTTGAATAGAAACATCTTTAAAATTTAATACTGCCTCCGGTCCTTAATATAAGAATCTATTTAATTTTTATTTTGGTTTTAAATATAAGACCCTAATCTATTTTTTTCTCACATTTATATATTTTTTTCAAAGTAGTCCTTCTAACAATGATAGTTCTAATCAATACACTTGATTAGCAAGGATATTTTAAGAAAGACAATACCTGTTTAAGACAAATAACTAATTCAATTAACTCAATTTACTTCCTTAATCTCTTTAAATTAGTCAACTGGTTTTTATAATTAGGACCGAAGGTAGTACTTATCAATTATCTTTCAGTTTTTTCATACACAATATTCCTTTTTTTTTCCCCAAGGATATAAACTAATTGTATACTTACGGATGAAACTTTGAAAAATTACCAAAAATTTTATCATTTTATTTTGCTATATTACATAGATGTACGCGAACTTGCGATTATGTTAATTATTGATGATGGATGGCTTACAATATACTACCTCTAATACTAATTATACCTCTAATACTAATTATAATTATAATTAGTATTAGAGGTAGTATATTGTTGGCAAAAAAAAATTTATATCGTAACTGTATTTATAGTTGGCTAAAAAAAAAAATCATAACTGTGTTTATAAATTTAGAACCGGAAGAAGGACCCCCTGCCAACAACCTTTCGGTGCTGCAAACGATTTGAATTTCCTTCTTTTGCACGCAAAATTCATCGAGCAATCCCGAGCCTGAGAATTGGTTTTCCTACAGGCTCTCTTTGATCACGCATGTGATATATTGAATTCAGACATATTCACTTCTTCTGCATTTAGAAATCCAGATACAAGTTAAAGAGGTTGAAGATGGCGGATGGAGGCTGTTGGCCGACAATGGATCTGCTTCGTTCGGAGCCAATGCAACTTGTGCAACTTATCATTCCAACTGAATCAGCTCACCGAGCTATCTTTTATCTTGGAGATCTTGGCCTCTTCCAGTTCAAAGATGTATGCCGCATTTCATTTTTCCATTCCTCACTCTACTCTTCTCAAATCAATCTTCTCGTTGCTCTTGTTTTGTTTGATAAATCATGTTTGGATTGTTCCTTTCTCTAAACCTGCACTGATCTCCCAATGCTGGCTTGTCATTTAATTGTTCATTGAATTTTTAATCTGCTGTCTAATTATTTTCACATATTGATACTTTTTTTTCATTACAATTTTCCAGCTAAATGCGGAGAAAAGCCCATTTCAACGGACATATGCTGCTCAGGTTAACTTTATGATCTACGTCTTCCTAGGAGTGCTTACGTTACATCCTCAGAGAAATCATCCACCTATGCGTTACCTCCTTGGGGATTTTTTCGTTGTTTCTTTCTTTCTTTTGTTTTGGTTGGTGAGCTTAAGGACATTTATATTTATAATTATAATTTGGCATCTTAAATTTGCTCTCCAGACGCGAAGCTAGTTTCCGCAATTTCTCAGGGCCAAGTTCGAACTCAAGATTGTGAATAATGAAGTATGACAAATTAAACACTTGATAATTCAAAAACCAGTCGCATTTTACTCTCTTACCGCGTGATATTTTATGTTAATAATTCATTGTGAGAGTGGAAAGCTGACCATTGTATCATTCAGATTAAAAGGTGTGGGGAAATGGCACGTAAGCTTCGGTTCTTTAGGGAACAAATGACAAAGTCTGGTGTATCAATCTTAAGAAGGTCCACAGAAGAAACTGAAGTTGATCTGGATAAACTGGAGGTTGTTAATGTGCTCTATAATTATTGCCATTGGTATTAGAGATCCCTGTACCATGTAATAGAACATTTCTTCCTGATCAGGTTAAACTTGCAGAACTTGAAGCTGAGCTACTGGAGGTTAATGTGAATAATGAGAAGTTGCAACACACCTACCGTGAACTATTAGAGTATGAGCTTGTTCTACAGAAGGTATGGCTATGCTAACTGCAAGGTCCATCGTTGCCAGCATTGTCATGTCCTCACCAACCCGATATTTGGTATTTCAACCCGTAATTGGTTTTTGGTTGTTTGTATCAAGAAAAACCATACGAGCATTTTTTTAGTCGTGTACAATGATCTGTATTCCATGTCATTATATATAGAATGCCTCTACAATGTACACAAACACTCATCAGATTAATTACCCTGGTCTTGTTATTTTGTCCTATGTTGAAACGAGCCTACACAAAAATAAAACTCCTTTTTCTTTTTTAAAAATTCATTTCAGGCTGGTGAATTTTTCTCTTTAGCTAAAAATAGCGCTGCAGCCCACCAAAGAGAGCTTGAAGTCCAGGACACGTTTGAAGGTTCTATTGACAATCCATTATTATCAGAAAAAGTAAGAATATTAACACACACATATTACAGGTTTATTCTATTTCTCCTTCTGATGGTGCTTAGAAAATTTATTTTACGTAGGAGTCACCAACAGATCTACCAAAGCAGCTTAAGCTGCGTTTCATCAGTGGTCTTGTTCCTAGAGAAAAATCAATGGCATTTGAAAGAATGTTATTTCGTGCTACAAGGGGTAATGTGTTTCTAAAGCAAGTTGCGGTCGAGAATCCTGTTCTCGATCCTTTGTCAGCAGAGAAGGTTGGTACCAAGATCTTGAATTTTAAATCTTTGACTCATTGAAAAAGTTTAATTAAGTTATTGAGATAATCAAACTTATAACCTGTATTTTTGCAGATTTATAAAAATGTATTTGTAATATTTTATTCTGGAGAGAGAGCAAAAAGTAAAATTCTGAAAATATGTGATGCTTTTGGAGCGAATCGCTACCCATTCACTGATGATCTGGGTAAACAATATCAGATGACTACAGAGGTACACTTTACTTTTCTTTTTGGTTTCTGCGTAGCTTCTTATAGTTGAAAAATATATACTTCCAAATCATAAATGTTTCTTCATTTACCTCTTGTTTAGAGTAGTTATAAGAACTGCTGATTTACTCATTCTTGTTTTAGAATTTTTAGAAGACTCGTTGCAATGCATTTTATTAATTTTTATTTATTTACATATTATGAAGAGCTATTATTCAGGTTGTTTCACTGGAGAAGATTTATTGTGTTTATTATCCAATGGTAGCTATGTTCTCTGATTGATTTAGCTAAATTCAAGCTGTTCGTTCCTCATAGCAGTGGTTATGTAGAGAGTGCTTTTTTCTGTATAACAAGCAACAACAGCCTTTACCTCTAATGGTTCCTGTAATATTCTCTCTGGTTTGATTGTGGTAAGCCAAAAGAAGCTGTTACTTCGTTATCTGGATTTGCTAGGTGTCAGGAAGACTTTCTGAATTGAAGACTACTATTGAGGTTGGATTGTTGCACCGTAGCACTCTTCTGCAGACAGTTGGTTGTTACTTTGAGCAGTGGAGCCTTCTGGTTTGTTTTACTACTCTAATATAGTATGTTTAAGGATTTATTACTGACACACATGCAAACGAGTCTTTTTGCTCATGTCTCTGTTTTAGTTTTGTTGTTGGGTTTCTGCAATTAACTTCCATTCCAACTATGACATTTCTTTGATTTGATGATAGGTGAAGAAGCAAAAATCGATTTTCCACACTCTAAATATGCTTAGCATTGATGTAACAAAGAAATGCCTTGTAGCAGAAGGTTGGTGTCCTGTTTTTGCAACCGATAAGGTTCGTTCTTGAACTTCATTTCTGATAAATGTGCATCTGAACCTCTAAATCACTCACATGTGCTTGCAAAGACTACAATATGTTATTGGCTGTACTATCTAATTAATTTAGATTAAATACTCTGGCAGATTCAAGCTGCATTGCACCGGGCAAACATGGACAGTAACTCCCAAGTTGGGGTGATATTTCAAGTCTTACAAACAAAGGAATCACCACCTACATATTTCCAGACAAATAAATTTACTTCTGCTTTTCAAGAAATTGTAGATGCCTATGGGTAAGTCACCTTGAGGCTAGATGCTGTCAAATATCATTCATTTTCTCTGAAATGAGTAGGTCCTTTTCATTAAACTCACAATTTGATAATCTTGTCACGTGTAATCAGGGTATCTTTTATGTGGCTTTCTTTGGATGAAATGTAGTTGTCTGTTTACCAGATTAGCTTTCAGTTTTGCACGTGAAGACACAATAAATTGTGACTGAGAATACCTACAAAAAATGGAAAGTGAAAAGGGTTGCTAATTGATCTATTTGCACTAGAAGTCACAATATTTTTATGCTGTGATTTTAACTCCCCGTCTTAGCTGCTTGATGTATTTATTGTCTGCGTTAATTGGTAACATACAGAGTTGCTAAGTATCGGGAGGCAAACCCTGGAGTATATACTATTATCACCTTTCCGTTCCTCTTTGCTGTTATGTTTGGTGATTGGGGGCATGGTATATGCCTATTACTAGCAACTTTATATCTCATAATTAGGGAGAAGAAATTTTCTACTCAGGTACTTTATTCATTTTTATCAGTTTCTGATCATTTCTGTGCACTACTCCTCATTAACTTGGATCACTTTTACTTGATGTTGTTAATGACAGAAACTTGGAGACATAATAGAAATGACTTTTGGTGGTCGCTATGTTATTATGATGATGGCCCTTTTCTCAATATACACAGGACTGATATATAATGAGTTTTTCTCTGTCCCATTTGAACTATTTGGGCGATCAGCTTATGGATGCCGTGATCTTTCATGCAGGTGGTTATCAGTACAACTTATTTGATATATAGTTTTTACATAATGCAACTCAGTCAAATTCTAAAAGTGCGTTCTCTATTTTCTCTTTTGCAGGGATGCAACCACAACAGGCTTAATAAAGGTGCGTGGCACTTATCCATTTGGCGTGGATCCTAAGTGGCATGGAACACGGAGTGAGTTGCCATTTCTTAACTCCTTGAAGATGAAGATGTCTATCCTAGTGGGAGTAGCCCAGATGAATCTTGGAATTATATTAAGCTACTACAATGCCAAGTACTTTGGGGATGACATAAATATCTGGTAATATGGAGAATTTAAGATTTTTTTTTTGTTTATATGTGAATTATTGACCATCTGACTACCTACCTTTTTTCAGGTACCAGTTTGTTCCCCAAATGTTATTCCTAAACAGCTTGTTTGGCTACCTTTCACTCCTCATAATTGTTAAATGGTGCACAGGATCACAAGCTGACTTGTATCATGTGATGATATACATGTTCCTCAGTCCAACTGATGATCTTGGTGAAAACCGGCTCTTTGTTGGCCAAAATTTCCTTCAAGTAAGAAAACACCAACTAATGATTGGAATAAATTTTGTATTCAGTGATGGTAAACAGATTCTACATCTAAGCTGCCCCGCTGTTTCATTACTAGCTTGTGTTACTATTGTTGGCACTTGTTGCTGTACCATGGATGTTGTTTCCAAAGCCTTATCTCCTTAAGAAGCAGCACCAACAAGTATGTCTTAAATTTTCTTTGAATTTCTTGTTTTATTGATATCATAGTTCTAGACTTCATCCTAATGTTTGGTATCATTCTTCCTCAGAGGCATCAAGGTCAATCTTACTCTTTGCTTTATAGCAGCGATGACCCTCTTGAATCAGAGCCACATATTTACCCCCATGGCCATGATGAGTTTGAGTTCAGTGAGGTTTTTGTACATCAACTTATTCATACAATAGAATTTGTGCTTGGGGCAGTGTCTAATACAGCTTCATACCTACGGTTATGGGCCCTCAGGTAGGTGGTTGAAAATATCTTTTGCCAGCTTGAACCTTTTTAGCATAATTTGCTATTCAACATGAATCAGGAAGGTTAATATATTTTGTACGCCTTTAAATGTGATAGATAATGTTTCAATTCGCAAATAATTTTTCATTACTTGCATTTCATGGATGACATCATTACACATTAGCATGGATCCGATGGACTTTGTACTCACAACCTCCAAGTCCTTCGGTAGAAAGTTCTTCAGAAAGGAATGAGATTTGTCACTAGAAAAAGGCACTAGAAAAAGGCACACCACTGTCAATAATGTACGCTGGTGACCTATGATAGTGACCTAAAATAGGGTACTTTGGCGGCATCATGAAGTGAATGCAGTGTGATTAGATATGATTAATTTTAATGCTCAGTGGTTAGTTTGTTGCTGAACCTGGTCAAATAGGCACTGTATTAATGTCAAAATCTTTTGCAGTGGCATTATTGGAGTACCGAAGAAATCATGAAATACATCGCATTGTGTGTGTCTGCATACAAACATTGCATATATAACTTGCTTAAATTAATTAAAGAATTAAGAAAACATGCGCAAACATCCTTGTCGGTATTCCCAGCCAAAAGCACATTTGTTTTCATCCTGAGTATCCTGGCTTCCATCGGTGGGCATGACCGAAAATAGCATTCATAAAAGATGGTCCATGGCTTCGGCGAAGAAGCCTCGTTACAGTGTTGTCTTGCCTTTTGCGACCAAATTTCAAAGAAAAATTAGTTATCGATACCGGTGTGTATTCAACATCATTCATCCACGCACATCTTCCTTCCATTCTCTTACATATATCTCATAAGAAAAACCAACTGATTAGTTTGGTACTCTGCTTCCCTAATTATGCGTAATAGCCCTCAACTAACTACTGACTGAATAATACTTAACAAAGGAGCTATTAGTCACTTTCTTCTCTGACTCCTCTTACACATATCACCTTTGGTCTCAGCAAGTTCACATTTCAATCTTATGCTTCATTCCAGGACTAGTTGACAACAAACTTAAATGATTTATTATTCTACATTGTGCATCAGTGCTAGCTCCTACTCATTTGAGAATGTGTTTCGCTTCTGACTTCTATGGATAGACCTTAGAGGTCGTATGTCTTTCCTATTAAAAAGGCTTCTCTATCATACTCTTTCATTCTGATTTATTTTTCCTTTGGATCGGATCTTGCCCAGTCTGGCACATTCAGAGTTGTCAAGTGTGTTCTATGACAAGGTTCTTCTTCTGGCCTGGGGGTGAGTCAAAGTCGTGTTGTTATATGTTAGTAGAGGGCTGTAAGAAAAGAGTTGACATCTTAACTGTCCCTTCTTTTTTTTTTTTTTTAATTGCAGGTTCAACAACATCACTGTTCTCATTGTTGGCATTATTGTCTTCATATGTGCTACTGTTGGTGTCCTGCTGGTTATGGAAACTCTGAGTGCTTTTTTGCATGCATTGCGGCTTCACTGGGTGGAGTTCCAGAATAAGTTTTATGAGGGAGATGGCTACAAGTTCAGCCCATTTTCATTTGCTTTGCTTAATGAAGAGGATGAAGTATAGTTGCCAATTAATCAACAGTCTAAACTCTATAAAGGTGGAAATTTATCATTTTTGCGGTCTTCGTATAGGAAGCTGAATCAACATGCTACCCTGATTGTTATTGTATCAGTGTCAACTTTTTGTTGAATTTATACCCTTGAATTTTTTTGTGGCGAAAAGCCTGCAGTGTAAGAGTACAGGGTAATGTACCTCCGTGGCCATTGACCACTGTCAGCATTAACTGCAATTTGAGGAGTGCTACAGTTACTGAATGTAAATGACACTATGACAGTACAGGTTCACAAAGTGCTTCTGAAAATGAGGAGATCTCCTCCTCCTCCTTAAATCGTTCTGCATAGTAATATTCTTTAGAATTTAATGCAATCCATGCTGCCAACTCCATCTAATAGCATAAAGCCTGTTGTAGTGGTCGTCTTAGTAGTATTCTTCAACATCATAAAATCGTATTCCTGGATTTTTCATTGACGCTCCTCCCTTTGTAGTCTCTTCTTCTTGTTCCTACATTTACTGCTTTGACCGCACGTTCTTGCCCGCAGATCTGAAATTCCATTATACTTCAGGGCAAGGCGGAGACAGTGAATTTTCCCCGAATTCGGTTCCAGTTTTTTTCTTCCACTGGTGTGTAACTTTCTAGAGACTTGTGCGTCTTGCTGCAATTGCTGCCTCTACGAACCAGCCGCATTGGAATTGTGACAACAAAATGCTTATCGCCCTACAGATAGAACGCCCGAAAATCTCACCACAAGCCACTTGTCTCATCTTCCACTTGATCATAAGTAGACCAAATATGCCAGATTCGTAATCATAGCTAATTCCTTCTGAAACTACAAGAAGCCATGCTCGTATGCTAAATGTTAACGTAAGTTGAACAAGTCACTGAATTTATGGACACCACGCAGAGGGTGAGATGTCAGCCTATCACCCTACAACTTCAGCAGCCATATGTATTAGCTCTCCTCTGCATCTCGTGCCGGCAGGTTACAATGGTATTTCAGAATAGTACCACATGCTGTATAAGTTATTAAGTTATAAGAAAGTACAGCTTCACAGCCCATGATTTCCAAGCACATATTTCATCACTTGTCATTACTATCGATGCAGCTATATATAGCAATCTACAGTTGGAGTACTAAGCATACAGAGTGACATAGCAGATGCATAAACAGCAATAGTTAGCAATCTGCAGTAGGAGTGATATGCGTGCAGAAGTTGCATGACAGATCTAACAATGCACCTATTACTGAACTAATTACTATTCTATCCTAAATATAAGATTTATTTTGTAGTGTAAATTTACATAAGCTTCACTGGCCTTGTAACAGAAAACCGCAAGGTATTCTTAAAATTATTCATTATCAATATGTAATTCATCCCACACATAATTAAAATGAGTTTGGGTACCCACTAAGGCAAATTCATCAGATCTGCATCGTTTAGATTTGATCTCAACAGTTTATATTTATTATTTATCATTATTTTTAAATAATTATTTTAATGAATATATAATTAAAATAAAAATAATCTATATTCAAAAAATAAAAAAAAATCTCCTAACCATTATTTTTTAAAATATAATTTTTTTATTTAAAAATAATCAATTGAAAATTTTAAATCTGATGAGTTTGGATGATCATTACTCATGATGAACAACCAAATTGGGTCCCATATATTTTGGTATCTGTCATTTTCTCACTTCTGTTTCCATGAATTCTTTATAATTCAGCAAGGCTTTTCCTGGAATGGAATGGGAGTATAACAAGCAGAGCCATATCCCACTAGAAGAACCCCGTGATCCAAATTTTTTGTGCAGATGAATGGGCATGAAAAGTGGCCAACGCATGTCTGCATAAAAACTGCGTTGATACCAACTGCGCCAGGCAAAGCAAAGTCAGAATTTTTCCAAGTATCATGCAATCTTGTTCTTTTTGAAAAAATGATTAAATTATCAAAATAAGCCCCTGCAAGAGGACCGTTCTTCACCAGATTTCCAGCATTTCGATCTTCATCAGTGGAAACCACACCAGTCTTGAGTATGCACTCAAATGCAGTAGTCATCAACCCGCCATTGCAGCCTGAGTCGCATGCTCCATGATCTTCCGGATCACGCTGAAATTTCATTTATAAAAATACACGTGCTAAAATTCTTTGAAATGAAATGAGAGAGATTTCACAAAGTCTACGAAATGTTATAAATTGAAATTGATGATTGTCAGCTTCAAAGATGAGTGTAATATATCACACTATAAAGGCCCAATTTAATAAATTAACTAGTTAAAAAATGACACTGCGAATTAATTTTTTCCAAATATATACAAATAAATACGCCAATTAATCATGCCTTCAGTGGATCACGACCTAACCGGGTGACTTGCCTTGCCCATTATCACGAAAATAAGAAGAGGAAATTTTTTGAGAAATATATTTCTTCTATTATCACGTGTATACAGTTTTCACCAAGCATTTATCTGTCTTTGCGAAAAAACGAGGCATTATAAAACATCTCTGAAATTCCGGCTAAAAAAGGTGAATGTCCTGAAATATACAATTTGAACCACTGATGCTGCTAAAAACATCCTCGAATACTAGACACATAGGAAAACACACAAGTGGAAAAGGCCAGACCAAATTCAGGAGAGGCGAAAATAGATACGAGCCTCGTTGTCGCAATCTACGAGCAGTCGCTCACTAAGGCTCACTTGAATGAGCCCCTTCCAGTGCTCCTGTGGTGCTAAACGACCAGCATGATCCCCACGAGCCCTGCTTGCCAAACAAGAAAGGTTCAAAACACAAATATCAGAGCGTAAACGATGAACTATACATCAACTTGCCTGGTCCTTGACAGGAGTGACAGTTCCATGATCACGCCAATCGAAATCAGCAAGGAGATCGTTAGTACGAAGGATAGGAGCCTTGAGAGCATCGGCGGGAAGACGTGCCATCGGAATTCGGAAGGAGTGAGATCGGAGAATTTAGTGATGCCGTGGATGGCGGAGGGATCGAGATCCTGGTGCAAATTGGCTCGGCACAAGTTGGCCTTCGAGACACCGAAGCGATGGTCGTGCTCCCCTCTGGTAGCGTGTAGGTCTTGCTGAACTTAGACTTGAAGTTAGAGAAGTGGAGCTCGGCATTGACCAAGTGATCTTCGCCGTCTGAAACTGTTACGAACAGAATTGAAGAGAGGGATACACAAGAGAGAAAGAAAGGGGAAACAGAGAGAAATCACTTCGTTGATGATTCTCACAAGTCACAAATCACGTGATCTGCCGCGGCAGCGAGAAATATAAAGGCCCCATAAGGCCACAGAATAAAAAGACGGAATAGTCCATGCTAAACTAATCACAGGGATGGAAGTACCCGGTTAATACTACATTTGGCGTTTAATATAAAAGATTATTTAATTTTTATTTTAATCTTAAATATAAGATTTTAATTTATTTTGCTTCTTATATTTATCTATTTTTTCCCTCAAAATAGTCTATGTAGTAATGATAGTTCTAGCCAATGTACTTAATTAGTAAAGATATTTTAAGAAAGATAACATCTATTTATTACAAATAATTAATTTAACTAATTTTCTTAATTTATTCAAATTAGTCAATTAATTTTTACATTAAGAACTGAAAATAGTAATAATTATTCTTGTCAGAAACGACTTGATGAAAGGTCATCGTCCACCGGCGGTCACCACCAACGTGATGCGAGCAATTGGAAGTAAAGGAAATGAAAATGTGATATTTACGGCCTACTAGTTTCAAGTCTCATAGTTCATCTTCCTTCTACATCAGGCCATTTACGGCCATTACTTCCAAAGGCTATATCAGGTTCAACAAAACTAAAGGAAAGACAACACAACAGAAAGAAAACTACGAAAACACAAAGGCTATATCAAAACCAGAAGGCATTAGCCTCTTCCCTCCCCTCCCTTTCAGCCTCTTAGGAACGCTGGTCAGCACTAAAATCATCAACAATCAATGCCTCTCGAAGGATGATAACAACTAGAGGAGGCGGAGACTCAAGAATCAGACCATGAGGTCCCAGCTCCCTTGAAGCTAGAGCAGCCAAGCAATCGGTGGCAGCATTACCCTCCTGGGGAATGAGAGAAAGAGAATCATACTTCGATCATGCACTAAGTCAAAGCCTTCAGAATTCAGATAGCAGACCATGAAAGCTTCCACAAACACGAGGTAAAAGAGCGTTGGATAATCACCTTGAACAAATTCTTACGGCCCAACTCGATGATAACTAAGTGAAGATTCTATTGAAAAACAAGGTGAACAACCTTTAGCACTGCGAGTGGCTGAGCAGAAAAGCAGAAAGGGCATCTACATGTTCAGCCCACCCTTTGACAAACATTCCCTCAGAATTCCTACGGAATATTCCTACGCACCACCACAGTTTAGTTTTAGTGAATTTATACGATGAGTACAAGCTCAACAGAATCTCCAATCTCAAAAGACTAGCCTATTAAGAAGGAGAACCTCTTAAATTTATAAACCTCATGACACTCAAGTTTTATTAATATGAGACTTATAACAAAACACCCCCTCGAGAGCTGACATCTCCCATGACTCCACTCTGTGTCACTTTATTTAGTTTTCTTAACGATCAGAACCATCACTAGGTATTCTTTTCTGGTTGGTTGACTCTTACTAAAAACACTAATGTAATGAGTATAAACCCAAAATGAAAACCTAATCTTAAAAAACTAGCTTATTAGCCATAGAGTGGAACAGCCGGGACATTGATTCTTAAAAGAGATGCTTTGTTATGAGTCCCACGTTAAGAAATATTATAAATATTGTGGGGTTTATAAATTTAAGGAACTCTCTCCTAATACGTCAATTGTTTGAGATTAGGCTTTTCTTTTAAGCTTATACTCATCACAGTTTATTGGTGGTTTCCTCCGCTTATAGCAAGTTTCAGATTCCACGGAGTTGGGTGCCTTGGAGAAAAGAGAGTTTGCCTCTCAATATTCCTGTTTTTATTAACATGTATACGTACATTTTTATATATTTATTATTTCACCCGTGAATCAAAATATAACCTCACGTTCTTATAGCGACACTGACACTATGATTGTGTTCCGATGAAAAAACAAAATGACAGGCGTATTACCTCCAATTTTAAATATAAGAATTAGTTAATTAATTTGAATAAATTAAAAAAATAAATTAAATTAGTTATTTGTAATAAATAGATGTTGTATTTCATAAAATATCCTTGCTAATCAAATTTATTGGTTAGAACTACTATTATTAGAAGGACTATCTTGAAAATAAATAAATAAATATAAAAAATAAAGTAGATTGAGATCTTATATTTAGGATCAAAATAAAAGTTAAACGATATCTTATATTAAAGACCAGAGGTAGAATAAGTAGTTTTTTAACTATAGTTTACAAAATACAAAATAAATATGTGAGAAGAATTTTATTTCAACTTACATAAAATATGCTTATAAATATTTATTTAAGCCAATCCAAACAATCACCTCCCAATATTTAATCTGGTTAGCGCTTTCAGTTTTAGATGTTTCAATTAAAATACCTGTTGTTGATGTTAAAATATTCTATATATTAAGTTTTTATAAATTAGGAGCCATGTTATTTAGCAACTCAAATAGCATAACTTTCATCACTCGTCTTTACATAATTTTCATTTCACAAAAACTAACATATACTTGCCGAATTTAGTTTTTCTGCCAAAGTATTTCACCAGTTCTTTCAAATAAGCGTCACCTGTGATTTTTTATCATCATATTTTTTTGCCGAATTTTTGTTATCATATTTACTATCCTAACTTGATAGATCCATACAAATATTTTTATTGAATTATTGGAACATAATTTAATTTAAACCATAGGGACGAAACCATGACGACTTTTAATTAAAAAATTTATATAGGAAACAAGTATGTGATTTTAATAAAATCGTAAATTGTAAAAATAACGCGGTCTGAACACAATTGACCGCTGACTGGGGTCTAGTAGAGTTCGATTGGGCTGACGTTTTCCTCTATTTTACTTTCAGACATAAGACGCAGCGAGGGAAGGGAGAAACCAGACAGAGGCGGAATCCAGAGAGCTCATAGCTGCGGGAGCGACATGGATGAAGATCACAATTACAGTGGCGGGGGCGGAAATCACTTGGAGACTTCCAAGGCTGAGAGATCTGTTTGGCTGATGAAGTGTCCTCTTGTCGTTGCCAAGTCATGGCAGAATCATCCTACCTCTCATCCTCAACCCCTCGCCAAGGTCGTCCTCTCCCTCGATCCTCTTCATGCCGACGATCCCTCCGCCCTCCAGGTACTTCTCAATTCCCTTTCGAATTTTATCCTTTATGCGATATTTCAACCGCTATTTTATCCCAACTCCGTTTTGCTTTGCTTTCATATTCTTTTTGGCATGAGAGAGTGGTGTTTTGACTCTATCAGGTAGATGCGTTTTGTGGATGTCAATCATCCTATAGATATATGTGATTTTTCTTGGGAAGTTGTCATGAATCCTCATCAACTTCTCAAAAACCCTACTTTGTTGATATGTGAAGAGCCAACAACCACTGGCGGTGTATTGTTTTTGCTATAAACTATGCTTATTCTGAATTTTACCCAAATCATGAGCACTTCTAATATTAGTAGTTGCCTAAATACAGTTAGATATACATTCTAAAGACACGGCTCACTGGAAGCTCACTTTTACCGTTTTCTATTCTTATCTTATTGACATTTATTATTTGTTTTAGAGAAAAAAGCCTGACGGGCAAGAGTGTTGATTTATTGTTGATGTGAGATAGTCGTCCATTTTCTGACTTGTATCATGATTATGTCAGTTCACGATGGAGATGGCTGGCACGGATGCAGTGAATATGCCTAAAACATATTCTTTAAATATGTTTAAGGATTTTGTTCCTATGTGTGTATTCTCTGAGACAAACCAAGGTAAGAACTTTAATTTCAGCTTACTGCCAACTAAAGTCATACTCCACTGGAGCTACATCTTTGTAAATCCATACTCAATTTTACTGGTTTGATTGGTGATATTTATTAATGTTAAATATGACCGCTGATGACTCTTCAACAGAGGGTGTATAAATTCTCTCAATTGATGTTGGAAGTATTCAGTAAAGATACATCCCAGGTTGTATGCTTTTTAGTAGTTCATTGAGTTTAGGCAATACAGGACAAGACCATCAATTACAGTTGAGGGGAGTTGTAGTTCTTCTTGTCTGATGTGGCCTAGATGTAAACAAGCAGGCTAGGATACTGTTGGATATAGAAAGTTTTCTTTTTGTCTCCTTCAGATCATGAGTAACGTTAACTATAGCAGTAGTAAACTGAAGTTACATTTTGCAATGTTTGTGTGGTAGTTAGACGCCTGAAGGGCTGACAGCTTTGTTTAGAGACTTTGAGAAGGCCAAGTGGAAGTACCTTCAAACTTCATGAGTTACAAATGCTTGTGAATAATGATCCTAATCAGTAACCGACTATTATGATAATCATATAATTCAAAATAGATGAAAATTACTTGCATGTTAAGTGCTTTTGGTTACAGCAGTTGTCATAATTAGGCTCAGCACCTTGAATAAGATAACAACCACTAAGTCCTTTTTAGGCAAGGTTGCGATGGAAGGGAAGGTAGAACATAAATTTGATATGAAGCCCCATGGTGAAAATATTGAAGAGTATGGCAGATTATGCCGTGAGAGGACAAACAAATCTATGATTAAAAATCGACAAATACAGGTAATATTTCTTAATTATCATTTGATTGCCCCTTAGGTGGTTTTTGGCTTCTTGCATATATATGAGATGGAAAATGTTGATTATCTTGTTCACTTGATTATATTGGAAGGTTATTGATAATGATCGTGGAGTTCTAATGAGGCCCATGCCTGGAATGGTTGGTCTAGTTTCTTCCAATTCAAAGGTACCCTTTTTTCTACAGTATTATATGTTAAATGACATGCAAATAAATGACTTTACATGAGGTTCTCGCATAGCATAAAATTTGTGGTGTGGAGTATTGAAATTTTACGTTTATGATTAGGAGTTCTTATGAAGTGTTCTTAAGGTTATTATTATTCAAATGTCGCAGGATAAGAAGAAGACACAACCGGTGAAACAGTCAGATACAAAGAGAACAAGAAGAGATCGTGGAGAGCTGGAAGACATAATGTTCAAGCTGTTTGAAAGACAGCCTAATTGGGCCTTGAAGCAGCTTGTCCAAGAGACTGACCAACCAGCTGTAAATTTTTTGCTCTCTCTTTTTTCTTTTCTTTCCTTTTCTTTTTTTACCTTTCTGTGGTGGGAGTGTCTCAAAAACAGTTGGTTTGCCTTGATACTCCTTCACTGGGATTTATTATTCAGGTCGGATTTCTGTTTTATGGTTTGGTCATAGTAAATCGGAGAATTTATTTCCATTTTCATATGGCATTATATTTGAGCTTTACCTTTAAGAGTCATTTGCATTACATCTATTGTTTAAGGCATTTGCAATACTCAGATATCCCCATCACTTGATGCGGGTATCCTAATTACAAAATTTGATCCAACAGTTTCTGGTGATCAATCCATTTGAATGTGCCCTGTTTAACAATTCAACACAGTTTTTATTCTTGTGTGCAAGTTTCAAGGTCATTTTTTGTTAATCTGCTCATGTCCTCAGCATGATTTTTGGATCAATGGATGCATATTTCTGAATTTATGCTCGAATAATTTGACTTGATGATGCTTTTAACTTTTGGAAAATGTCGATTTCTTTCCCTTTTTGGCAGCAATTCTTGAAGGAGATACTGAATGAATTGTGCGTGTACAATAAAAGGGGTGCCAATCAGGGAACTTATGAGCTTAAGCCCGAATACAAGAAATCTGTCGTTGAAGAAGATACAGGTGCTGAATAAGCATACTTTGCTCCTTATGCCCCGATTCCCCCTCCCTCCAGAATAAAATATAAAGTTAAGAGTAAACTCATATATTGGGGAAGGGGGAAGTCAGGGGGCACGGGTACATTTATGTATCTCTAGTATACTCAGCTTACGATATTTTTTCTTTTTCTTTCTTCTTTTTAAGCATCTTTTCAAACTTAAAGAAGATGCCCAAGTGAGTCGTCTACTCTGTAAAAGGATATTAAGGTAGCGGTAAAAAAAAAATTACGGGTAATTGCTTGGTTGAGCTGGGAATTTCAAGGCAGGGAGAATTTCTTAACCTTTGGTTTCTAGTCACCGTTCTCCTGTCTTCTAGATGTGCATATAAGGTATTGCCATCCGTATTTGCTACAAATGGATGCCCTTGGTACGAGTGAATCCAACAACATAAATCAAGAAGACAAAAGTTGTCTTTGATAAACGGAGGCAGAACAGGAGATTACAGAGGCGAGATCTGGGATGTGGCTGCAGCAAGCGGCCGCAGAAGGGCGAAGGTTAATGCGCTATCATGCGCTGCCTCCCAGACTCCCACGATTGTTGGATTTTAAATGGGAAAACTAATTTGATAATCCTTATAGTTTTATTTTGAATTAGATCCCTATAATATTTTTTTTTAATTCACTCCTTATTGTTTGCTCAGTTACTGACATTATACCTTCCGTTAATAATATGTGCAAATGCCGTTAATTCTAGTCAAAAGGGGGCTGATGTGGCGCTACATGCTGATAAAGATTCCGCCCAAATTAAAGCGGAGCCCTGAACCTCCTCGTTTATGCAATAAAATCTGCTATTGCCGAACCTTCTAACCCAACAAATTCATGGAGTCCTCTTACAGAACCACTCACTATCCCTCGTCTCTGCTTTAGTGAATCGCTTCACTTCAGGGCATTGAAATTAAGCTTTAGTAAATCAAATTATTCAAAGTCATGAAAATAATTTTAGCAATCAGTCAATCCATTTCTCTGATTTGCTTTTAAAACAGTTATTAGAACAGAGAAGATATACATTAATATTTATCTCATCAATCAATCCATTTTCCTGTATGTTATTTCCAAATTCTTACCTTTACATGTGCAGGGTTTTTTGGGTCTTTGTCAGTTAGTTGCTAACTCGTAAGAAATCATAGCCTAACAATCTGTACATCTTCTCGTTCTGTTTCTTTCATGCAGATTCTTACACCTACGTAGATATATAGATTTTGCACAGTTTCACTTTTTTCCCTCACATGATTATATTGTACAGATGCACATGCATTTAGGCGCAAAATTCAATTCTGGACATTGGCTTGAGATCGGTTTTGCCATCAAAATATTATTCTGTTTTTGGTTCTCAAAATATTTAATCAGTTTTGGATTAGTTATACTATCCATTGATAATATATATTTTTTTAATATTTTCTATGCTAATGAGCTTTTATGATGGCAGACATACCCAACAATCAGAATTTTTTTTTTCCAAATGTGGACGAAATAGGAGCATGATCCAGTCCTTGAGAGGTTAATGAAGAAAATAGCGATGGCTAGTTGCGACTGATTTTGGTGAATCACACTTCAGGTAACTTAAAGCAGACAATAAGGTAAACGAGGACTGGAGGAGCACTTCATGAAACCTGACTTGCTGGGTTTGGAAGGTTCGGCTATGGCTGATTTTACTGTGTAAACCAAGAGGTTCAAGAGTTGGCTTCAATTTTGGTGCAATCTTTATCCGTATGTAGCGCCATATCAGCTCCTGTTGACTGAAACTAATGGCGCTTGCAAGTAGTATTAACGGAAGGACTAATGCTAGTAACTGAACAAATAATAAGGCGTTGATAAAAAAAAAATATTATAAGGATCTGATTCAAAATTCAATAGAACTATAAGCACTGCCAGATTAGTTTTTCCATTTTAAATTTATGTTGCTCTCAAGGACATAACCGCCTTTCATTTCGTAGCTGATCCTTAGTTTCATCTCTCCCTGTTTTAGCCTTGCAGGGTTTGTATTATTCATAGGCAGAGGATTCAATATTTTTTATTTTTATTTTTGAAAAAAATGATATGAAGAGGATTCTAATTCAATCCCCGCATAATTATCAATTTAAAATACAAAATTCAGCATTTTTCTTTTTCTGCGCTCTGGGCTGCAAATCCATAGCGAGTTCTTTCTTCACATGTTAAACGGTTGGACGCAGCCTAAAAGTGCGTCTCAAGGCCCGAAAGCCAAGAGATTCATGGAATTTGGAATTCCTCTTCATGACAAATTGAGAGCTGAAAGTTTCTAATTGTCATTTACACTCTCTTTCTATTTACAAGTCATTTATATTTAAAACTTACAAACTAAGAAATATATTAAATCGATGATTTTGTTCACATTTACCCTTATTAAATTAAAAAATTATATTAAAAATATTTTTTATATTCTTTTTCATATATTTATTTTATCTGTGTCTGTATTTATCAAGTTCAGGAAATAAAATTAAAAAAAACTCATTAATTACTCTACAAATAACTTATGTTTAGTAATAAAATTTTCACCCATATTGTAAATAAGAACAGAGCAATATTTCAAGAATTCATTCTCATACTTTGTCCATAGGACGCATAATTTAAAACACGAGGCGTTTGGAGGCAACGTACGTGTTCCTTATCACTGAACTGATGGGGCTGACGAACGGGAAACACGGATAATCGCGGCGTCGACATGCGAGCATCCCACAAGCCGCTTTGTTCGGAGGCAAAAAGGATTAGGCAGTGTTAGTCAGGGGAAGATAGAACGCGCAAAAACAGAAACAAATTAGGAAAGCGACAATGTTGTTCCAAAGGGTTAATTGTACTGCCGGTATCAGGATTCCAACTTTTCAAAATCTGAACATTCATGTAACCCCCGGGGGGGGGGGGACACTACAAGGGACGGAAGTTGTTTGACAGACAGCTGAGGCAGACTGTTGGCACTTGCAATTGAATTTTCCATACTTCAAGTCTAAGTAACCAATCAACTGACTCTGGAATTTCACCTCTCTCATCTTCTCATCAATTCATTGTATACGAATGTGGGGAGTTTTGGCAGAGAAGAAAATTAAGTGCTTGCGCGTGTGTTGCTTTAATATTGGTGTTGTGTCCGATGACGTTTGACAACCACTAGAACTGGGTCCAGGCTAAGAAAAGCACGCAGAGTGAGGTGTCTAATCGATCCGAGGGGAACAACAAAACGCCCTTCAATCCTCACATTCAATTCAATATATGCAGTGATGTAGGTATTGACTGAGAGTAGCCAGCTAGCAGCAGCAAAAACATGAAAGCAATAAGGATGAGAGGAGAGCGCGCGCACACAAACTAAATTTTGTCTGCATGGGCACATATCCTGCCACTATATATCAATAATATATAATGTGCATGTGATGCATGTATATCTGTTATTCCGGTGTAATAATTATACCATGTTGCCTCGTCTTTCTCCAGTATAATCATTTGCGCACTCGCGTCAGTCAAATTACGTACTATATTCTTCTTATTATTATTCATCCGAGGAATCCTGCCCGAATTTCGTTATTACGCATTACCAAGTTAGTTATTTCTTAGCAAATATATGTATGAATAAATAACTGTAGCATATATGTATGCATGCATGCATACTTACGTATGTATGCGTCAGCATATAAGAGCATTTATGTATATATTGGGGCACGCATAATATGCTTTGCCAGCGTCACGTTTCAATTAATTAGAATCTACAAGCGCGGGCGCACATACAAGCTTCTTGTACATGCATATGTATATATGTATATATATATTACTCTCACAATCTCAAAACTGATCTGATTTTGGACCCCTGAGGCGCCCAGCAGTAATATTTATGAGATCCTTTCTTTTTCAAATATGACCTCGTATTGTTATTCCATGTATGCCATGTAGATGACAAATTCTGTCACGTGGCTAAATTGCTCGTAGGGCTCCGCCATGACAAAGACCAGGCTGTGTGTGTATATTGTGAGGTTGCGTTTTATATTATGAAGTGCGCATAACTGAAAAAGCAGAGAGGGACAAGATCCATCAAGAGCATATTTGAATGTGAACACTAAGGTGAGAGTACTGGAGATAGCCGTAGGGCTTGTGGAGCACGAATTGTCACTCATGCATCTTATCGCTGCCAATATAATCAGGGGGAGACCACACAAAGTCACAGAAGATGAGGAATCTTCCTTCGTTGTCAGCTTTGGAAAACTTTTGATGACCACCACTTTTCTTTTTCACACTCATCAGCGATTCCAATCCCATCCAAGGGCTTATTTCTAATACTTTATAAACAGTTTTTATGAGATAAGTATGTAAGAGAAATTTTATCTTTGCTAACATAAAAAACGTGGGGAAAAAACGTTACTGTTAACAAAAGTGAAAAAGCCTAATAAACGAAGAGAGAGAGGTGGAGAGGCATGTGGAAGCGGTGATATTCAATGAAGGTTTCGATTTGGGAAGATGGGGCATGACAGGACTCCTGCCATGTCCCGCTGGGATCTATAACCTTTGCGTCAACCACAACCACGCCACTTTAAACCGCCTCCTTCTGTTCTTGCAAGCATATATAGTCACTTTACAAGTTCAATTATATTCCTCGATTCCTTTCTGGTTAATTTATATACACTTGTATTTGCTTTGCTTAATTATGCGAGTGGCCCTCGGAGTGTAGTAGGTCAATTGATACAAAGCCGATTGACTAAAATGGAAGAACATGAAGATGAAGATAGTGCTACATGTATCAGTTCAATCGAATCAGTAACCACCGATGATAGTGTGTCCCCAACTGTCCTCTGGGGCTGAGGGCTCTATCATGTGTCTGCCACTCGCATCCTTTGATAGATTGCGGAAAATGAGAGTATAGAATTTAAAATTTGTTCTATATATTATAAAAAAATTAGCTTCTTCTTCCGCTGGGCTCAAGTTTTATTAGTAATATTTATCATAGTCTAATTTATCGGTATAGCTTGTAATAATTGAAATCCCTTCATGCAAGCTGATTATTTTTATTGAATTACAGTAAGTTAAGATCCAAGTTTCTATTAATTTGCCATTGTATTAAAAATCAATGACTCACATAAATCTTCCATGTATTTAATTATTACGAATTATTTTTTTTTTGTATAAGGAAAATGTAAACAAGTTTTTCAGCCGTGACGATGATAACATAAGTGTGAGTTGTACTAATGCTAAGACTTGGTTTTTTTTTTTCCAGATAAGATTCTGCAAAACCACTGCCGATCTTTATATGTAAAAGAATTTCGGTATCATCATCAAAATACAACTTCTCTCATATGTTAACTCTTCACATGTACACAAACAGCAGGTCTGCACCGGATCTGCAGAGAAGCCACACGCCTT